TTTATTCCATTCAAGTTTTTCTTTACAAATCAAACAAGTAAGTGGAGCTGTAACTTGAGAAAATTTCTTGATGAAGATTTGGTAGTAGTTAACAAAGCTTAAAAAGCATTGCACATCTTGTATTGTTTTAGGAATCTTCCAATCTATGATAGTTTGGATCTTCATGAAATCTATCATAAGGCCTTCGTTAGAAATGATGTACCCTAAAAAGTTAACTTGAGTAGTGTAGAATACACAATTTTCCAACTTGACATATAATCATGCATCTCTAATTTTTGTAACACACGACAAATATGAAGTTCATGTTCTTCTATGTTCTTAGAGTAGATTAGAATGTTGTCTAAATAGCAAACGACAAAATCATCTAAAAACTCACAAAAAACATCATTCATAAGATGTTAAAAAGTAGCCAATGCATTCATGAGTCCAAAAGGCATGACATTATATTCAGGATGTCCATACCTAATTCGAAAAGCAATCTTCCATTCATTTCTTTCTTTGATACGAACTAAGTTGTACGCTCCTCGTAGATCTATTTTGGTATAGATCTTTGTTTGATTAAGTTGGTCAAGAAGTCTTGAAATCAAAGGCAAAGGATACCTATTCTTGATGGTGATCTTATTAAGTCCTTGATAATCCACACACATCTGTAGAAATCTATCTTTCTTCTTCACAAATAAGATAGAAGCTCTGGCTGGAGATTTGGAATGGCGTATGAAGTTCTTTGCCAAGTTCTCATCAATATACTCCTTTAATGTAGCCAACTCATTCTACGATAAGCTATAGATTGATCTAAATGGTGGTTGAGCTTCTTCTTACAAATCAATTGAACAATCATAAGATCAATGCTCTTGAAGAATATCTGCATTCTTCTTTTCAAAAACGTCTTAGAATTCTTCAAATTAGTTAAGAATATCACTTGATGTTTTTTCACCATTAGAAATCGGCATAGCATATATAACAAAAGATGATCCTTCTTTGCAGCATGCATAAAAGTCCTTGTACCTACAAATAAAGGTTTGGAAGTATTAGACTTTTATACTTCTACTTTGCTAACTTGATCTTAGATTATACTACGAGAAAAATTAAAGTTACAAGAAATCCAATCTATTTGAGGATTATATTTTTCTAGCCATGATAATCCTAAAATAATCGGATTAGAGAGAGATCTTATTACATTTAATACTACTATGCTTTATGATCTTTAATTGGTATATCTAAAAGAACAGTCTTATGGATAGCATTTCTACAAGATAATAGATATCCATCTATGACTTCTATATGTACGGATTTAGTTTTTTTGACTAAAGGTATTTTTTGATTTTTGACAAAATCTTCATCTATAAAACAATTTGAGGCTCTTGAATCTAATAAACCAACGACTTTGTGATTTTTAGGTCCTAAACCCACATCTATTATAAAACAAGGTGAGGAATCAAAGGAGAGAATAGGACCTTTACTAAGTATTGCACATGATTCCAACCGCACGATTCCTATTGTAGCTTGAAAAATTAATTTTTTGACACATTATCTTCTTTGATAATTGTGCTTCTCATTTTGTAATTGCATTGCTTCTTTGGACAATGTTGAGTAGTGTGCTTAGCTTCTGTACAATATAAATACAAACCTTCTTGGCGACATCGAGATTTTTTTTACTCTGTGAGAATTTTAAAACTTATTGTATTAATTTGCATTGGTTCCGACCTTAATGAATACGTTTCAAAAAACTTAGAAGCTGTTGCTATTACTTGACTTGTTCCTCTCCAGCCAAATCTTTGTTCTTCATGCCTTTCAAATAATCGATTGACATATGCAATGGCTTGAGCAATAAATTATTTTAAAGATTCTATTTTTGACATTGGTAATAATAAATCTTTGATAATATCCTTTAATCCATATCAAAATTGATTGATGAGTGCTTTGTCATTCCAGTCCACATCGCAAGCAAAGTTTTGGAATTCAGAAGCATATGTGGTGGTTGATCGTGATCCTTGTTGTAAATATAAGAGTTTGGTCTTTACTACTCGTTCTCGATTTTTTCTCCAAATATTACCATAAACACTTTTAGGAATGAATTCAAATCATAAAGAAGTCATGAATCTTTTTCTATTAAAGGTGCAAACCAAGAGAGAGCACTTCTTGATAAAAATGCATCTATGAATCCAACTTGAATAAATCCATGAGGATATTAAAAAGAATGCAACTATAAATAGAACTTGACTTGTAGCAAAAATTGTCAAAATTTTGATTTTGTTCCATCAAAATTTTCAAGCATATTAATCATTATTTTTGTCATACTTGTAGAAGCAAAACTCTCTAGATTTGGTTGTGAGGTCGATCTACTTGCTTCCTTCAATTGCACAACTTCTTGCTGTAAACTTTGAACTTTTTCATATGTGTACGCATAGTACCTCCATGATTCACGTTAGAAACACGTAAGATTTCCACTCTAAGAGTGTTGACAAGCTCATGAAGATCTGCAATAGTTGCAAATCTATTCTCACTTCCGCTAGGTGTAGCGTCCATAATCTTTCCTTCCATAGGCAATTCAAACAAATCCAAAAAGTTAAATTAAAGGAAGGTAATCTACAACCTCTAATAAAAATTTCTACAAAGAGGGGTAATCCACAACCTCTAATAAATAAGTATTAATTTTTTATAATTTTTTTTATTAATAAATATAATTTAAAAGTTTTAAACATTGATTTTTTGTTAGCTTTTAAAAAAAATCTATAAAATATAAAATTTGTAAAAGAATCACATGTATAATAACATTGATATTATAAAATTTATTATACAAAATATTAATATAAGGAAAAAAATGAAAACCTAAAGATAATAAGTTTTTAGACCAAAATACTTCATAATTTCTACATCACTTTAATATTTTGAAAAAAATATAGTGTGATTTTTTAAATACAAAAAATAATCTTTAGATATATATATATATATATATATATATATATATATATATATACACTCAACTATAAGTTATATATTAATTGAATTAGATTTCATATATATTTAGACTTTGTTATATAATTTTGTGGCTTTTTAGAATAATCGTAAGTTATATTTTTAAATCTTTTTTATATAATTACAAATTTTTTTTTGCCATTTTTTTTCTTGAAATGTAAGAAACTCAAATCATTCAATATTGATTTACCTGTCTTCTATTTGTGACTACATGTTTTTAGAAATTATAGATATTGCAACAAAATTATGAAAAATTTGAAGTACAATTGTGTGACTTTCTAAATGAAATAGAAAGAGTTATTTGTCTCCTTCAATATTAAAATTAATTGCTTGATCCAATGTATAAGAATGAAATAAATTAAATATCAATTTTCTTTACATCACATTGTAATTTGTAAAACAATTGGCTGATAATTATAACATCATTTTACTAAATATTGATTTTTAGTTGTTAAAAGTGCAAAATATCCATATATAAAAAATAATTTTAATATTGCAAGTTTTTAATCTTATTAATTATGCAAATTGCTTTATATTTTATTATTAAATAATAAAAAAATAAAAATCTTAAAATTACAATAAAGTTGTTCAAAGTTGTATCTTGTTGCTCTATTCAGTAATATTTGCACAAATCTAATTAGAAATGCTCATGTTTAGAGAGAGATAAAGCCAAAGTTATGTTACTCTTCTCAATGTTTATATTGTATACTTAGTATGATTTAAGTGTCTTTTTATCTTCTATACTTAAAAATAACTATTCTCTCTCTCTCTCTCTTTCTGTATATATATATATATATATATTTATTTATTTATATGTATTTTTTTCTTAGTTAATTTCTTTCTTGATTGTAATTGTGAATTTTTTTAACAATTTGTTTCTAGTTTTATATTTTTTATATTAAGTAACAAGACATTGGATAGATAATAAGTCATCAGTCTTGTAATATATCTATATCTACATTTTGAAGTCATCTTATCATCTTGACAATAAAATTTATGAGATTTGTATCTTTACAATAAATATTGTATAAAATATTATATATTTTTTTATTTATAAATCTTTGTAAAGTGTTTTTTTTTTTTTTACTGAAAAATTTAATATATTTTTTGATTTTATGTAAAAGATGGTATATATATATTTATGCACACATGAAACCTACCTATTCATGTTTATATGTGATTTTTTTATTTTATCAAATAGGTTTCATTAAATAGGAATATGAAATAAAAACATTTGGTTTATTTTTTCCTACACTTATTAATGTAAAAAATAATAAATTGAACAAGAGAATGAAATATTATAAGTAAAGAAACTAACAAGTTTTTTTTGTTTATTTTTTAATGTCCATGAATATCATAGACACTTACTTGACATTACATTCTACCAAAAATACTTTAAAAATAATAAAATTTAAATTTAAATTTTGAATATTTGGGTCTTAGATGAATGTGATAAAACAATCACTCATACAAAAACTAATTGCCTTAGTTCAACTATTTTCATACAATAAAACAATCTTTTCATGACACGGAATAATTGGAACCCACGCATCCATGTCCAATTTTTCTATTAATTTTGTCTCATTTTGGGGTTGTGAACTTCCATCCAATAAAAGAGATTGTCAGCCAAGCCAACGAGAGGATGCCAGAAGCCACGCTGTAACATCCCATTGGTCGCCGTTCCCGCGTTTCCCAAAAGATCCCAACTAACAACGATGCCCTAAATGGACATGCTTTTCCAGAGCTTCTTTTCAAGGCAACTTTCGTCGTTCCCCTTGGAACCCACTGAGGAGAACGTGCTCTGGAACGGCGAGTGGGAACGGTGGATTCGGCTGATGCAAGCTCGGGGAACACATAGAGGACCAGCGGGAACAGTGAAGGGAACGAGAGAGAGCATGAAGACGGTGACCAGCCCCAGAACCGTGCACTCTCCACCGTCGACAATCCCAGTCCCATGACCGTGCGATTGGGGGATTGGGCCCCACCAATATTGGGCCCCTACCACCGAAGCTTTGTTCCAGGTCTAAATCGGTGCTCCCCTAGACCCGAGAATTTCTGCTGCAACTGCGAGCTGCTTTAGGGCTTCCATCTCGCTCGCACCGTCTGCCCGTGATCCCCACCACAGTTTGAGGACCTCTTCTTATGCTTTCTCTTGGTACTAGGAACTCGTATTTGTCTTCGATCTTGGACAGTGTGAGAGTCTAGGTTGGTGTGTCTTCTGTCCGTGGGGTTGCTGGGAGCTCGTCGCAGAGCTTCGTGCAGCTATGGTGTTCGCAGAGAAGCGCACCTCCATGGTGCCGGAGTTTCTTTACTCCACCAAGACGGCCAGGAGTGGCATTTCTGCCTCCAAGTCTTTGTTCCAAGCCCTGACGGCGGAAGCCAGCAGCCATGCTGCTCCCGCTTACACGGCCTCGAGCCTGTTCAAGCAGGTGGCGGGCGCCGCGAGAACCCCCGCCGGGGTGGCGTCACCACTCATGGTGCCGTCCGCGAGCGAGCGCAAGATTGTCATGTTCTCGGGTGAGTACTACCGCGCTTGCGCTGTAGGAGGGATGCTGTGCTGCGGGCTGACTCACATGGGAGTGACGCCCATCGACGTGGTGAAGTGCAACATGCAGATCGCCCCGGAGAAGTACAAGTCGATCTCGGGAGGGTTTTCGTTGATCGTGAAGGAGCACGGGGTGGTGGGTCTGTTCCGAGGGTGGGTGCCTACGCTGCTTGGGTACAGTGTGCAGGGTGCTTGCAAGTACGGGTTCTACGAGTACTTTAAGAAGACATACTCGGACATGGCCGGGCCGGAGAACGCCAAGAAGTACAAGACGGTGATCTACTTGGCCGGGTCTGCGTCCGCGGAGGTGATTGCGGATGTGGGGTTGTGCGCATTCGAGGCCGTGAAGGTGAGAGTGCAGACGAACCCGGGATTCGCGAAGGGACTGAGCGACGGGATGCCGAAGCTGATTGCGTCGGACGGTGTGAAGGGGCTGTTCAAGGGTTTGGTACCATTGTGGGGACGGCAGATCCCGTACACGATGATGAAGTTCGCTACGTTCGAGAGCACGGTGGAGGCGATCTACAAGTACGCGGTGCCAGTGCCGAAGAGCGAGGTGTCGTCGAGCTCACAGTTGGGTATCTCGTTCACGGCGGGATACATTGCGGGAGTGGCTTGCGCCATCATTTCGCACCCGGCGGACAACTTGGTGTCGTTCCTGAACAAGTCGAAGGATGCGACGGTGAAGCAGGCGATTGACCAGATGGGGTTGAAGGCGTTGTTCACCCGGGGGCTGCCATTGCGTATTATCATGATCGGTACATTGACGGGAGCACAGTGGGGTATCTACGATTCGTTCAAGGTGTTCGTGGGTCTGCCAACGACCGGTGGTGTGGTTGAGGAGCCTAAGAAGTAGAGGGTTGATCTGAATGCGTATGTATTTATTTTTTTCGTGCTACCATGAGGTACTGAGGATTTATTCAATCAAATTGAGTCGGGATGTTTAGTTACTATGTCAGGTGTGGGGATGACCTACTGCAGTGGGTTGATGAGTTTAGGATCATAGATTGAGGCCATAGAGATCTTATCAGCATCCCTTGTACTCCTCGGAGCTCGCATCGACCGACATTGGTGATTAGATAACCTGTCGACTGTTCATGACGCACAGGTTATTCAATGTTGAGAACGTTTTCATTTGCGGCCTGAATTGCGAATAAATTGCCATCACTAGAATCATGACATTGTCCCCCATTGTCTCGCATTGTGATCCAGCAAGTCACTCTGAATGTTGTCCGAATGTGCTGTATCTCTGATGACAACTTGGTTTTTCAAGTGTGGTCAGTGAATACTGGTGCTCACTATGTGACGCCGTGAAGGGAGAGGATTTGTTTGATGTGATAAGAATATAATGAGATTAGTTCGCGCCGAGCGATACAGAACCTTGATATTTCTCATTTTCTTCATGCACATTGTCATAGCAGATTATTGCGAAGGGCCATATTATATCCATAACAACTCTAAATTTTGTAGAGTAAATCTCTTGTGTGTATACAATACTCAATCTTCACATTGGTCATTCTTATTGCCCGATTCTGAATCTATCTGTAATGCAGGCCGAAAGCTCTGAATGATTCACCAATGAGTGAATCTGTGCCTTGTGAGGACCGTCTGGACTATGGGCGTAGATTCTCAACTTATTGTGGCTGGATAGTTAACTCAAAGCACAGCACATTCCAAAGTAACCTACGGTTGAAAGCATCAAGGTGTGGACTGTTAACCACAAAAACTGGTGAAGATCGTGACCAGTGATCTCAAGGGTAACAACTCTTAAATTTGTGGTGCAGGGGAGACTGTTTGAAGTCAACAAGGTGTTCAAAGTCTCAGGTTACACTGTTTACATTGTTTTGAAATGCTTCGAGGTGAATGACAATTGGAGCTGGTGGGTGGTGTTCAAAAATAGCTGTATCAGCTGACATGGGCATATTCAAATTTGGCAACTATCGAATTCTCACAAGAGACTGCACCGTGGACATGTGAAAGTCTGAATTTTGATAATGGAAAATCTTCGGAATTGAGGGCATCTTTGTAGCTGTCAATATGTGCTGTAGCAACATAATTGCAAGAAAATAGTAGTATTGAAGATCGAAGGCAGGTAGCGTGTATTCATGTACATATCACTAATGATTTTGTGTAAAAAGTGCATACTCTAAAAATGATTGTTGTGCAAAATATGTCGAGGTGTTAAGATTAGAATAATCACTATAATTGAGTTTTCTGTCAACCAAGAATTCTCCCAACTTGTAAAAAAAAAAAGATATTTCGATGATGATTAGGTAGATTGTTATGATTTTGGAAGGATTAAAAATTTATTTAAATTATAAAACTAGATTTAAAAAAAATCAAAAATTAAAAATTAAGTTCATGAAAGATAAATAAATAATCAAAAAAGAAGAAGATATGTTGCCTACTTAGCATTAGATTGTTTTAAAGATAAATAATAAATGACCTTACAACATAAAATAGATTCAGACAAATAGTTTGAAAGAGAATTGAATTTGTAAAACAATTACAAAAAAATTCTTAAACTCAATTTCATTTATTTATTTTTTACTACATGAATAGTGTTTTAATATAAAGACTATTGTTTTAGAGACATTAAAGACATTGTCATTCCAAACAATGTGTTTTAAAGACATTGTTTAGAATGACATTTAGTAGAAATCTAATTAATTATAAATACTAAAATTTCTATTTACTTTAACTAATTTGTTATCTACAAACTTTAAAAATTTATATGTTACTTTTGATACTTTTAAAATACCTGTTTATTGATTTTTTTTTATTTGTTAGATAAATATGTAGTTCAAACATTTATTTATTTTATTTATTTTATCTTTATTTTTAAAATAAAAGTATCAGTTATAATATAAAATAATTAAACCAAAATTAAAAATATACCATTAAAATTTATAAATAAATAATACTAAGCATTCAAATTTTTATCCAGATGTAAATAAAGCACTCTTAATTGTAATACATACTTTGACTAAAACATGTTGTTCTTCAGTTCACATACAATGAGATAATATAAGAAGATTTTTTGTGAATCTTCTAGGTAAAGTTTGATAGATTAATATACTAAACTTATTAAATCTTGCCTAAATAAATCACTTCATTAAATCAATGGTTTTTATTATTTTGTATAGCATACCTAAAAATATAATAAAAATATTTTATTATTAATTTTAGTATTCAATAATAAAACTACATTAAAACAATAAGCACCATATTATAATTATTGAATTTAAGGAAAGAAAGTACATAACTTTTGATATTTTTTAGCATTTTTAGTAGCTTCTTTCATTAAAGAATAATACCAAATCTTTAGGTGCTTTCTTGATATTTTTGTGCCATCTTTCACCATTGTTTTAAAACATTCTAAGATATTTTAAGGTCATGTGTTTATTTAGTAAAATTTTAAATGTCTATAATAATTCATGTATTTATGTCTATTTTTTCTTATTATTAATAATAAATTTGATTTGTTTTTTTTTTTGATTATTTTATAATAATTAATAAAAGATATCATATTCATTCACAATGTGAGATTTTAAAAAATAAATTGTACCACATTATTGTTTTAAATCTCTATCACCATTAACAATCTATAAATTTTACTATCAACTTAAATATCTTTTTGATAATTAGACTTTAATACTTAAAATGATTTTATTTTTATTTTACATAACTAAATTCAACCACTTTTAATTATTATTTTTAGATTCTATTTAGTCGCTTGCATAGCAAGAATTCTTTAAAATATTAAAGCTTAATTTAGAAAGAAATTCAATTATAAAAAAATCTGTAAATTATTTTAGAGTGATGCTTTAGATTTGTGGTGGTATAAAAAAATAGATTTATAAAATTGGAAGAATTTTTTAATATTTTAAAAAAGTAGTAAGATTATATATGAATAACACTATATATATATATATATATATATATATATATATATATATATGTACATATATATATATATTTATCAATACATAAGTAACTACAAGACAGTCATTTAATTAAAATTAAAAAAGTAAAATAACACATTATTGTTTCAAAAATGAATTTTGTATGATTTTAAGAGTCTCAAAATTTTAAATGTTTTTGGAAAATTTTAACAATTCTTAATTGGAGGAAAAAGTAAGTTCATAGGAGCACAAGGAAGGTTAAAAAAAAAAAAAAAAAAAAAAAAAAAAAAAATGTAGTAGAAAAAAAAAGATAAAAAAATCAACAACAACAACAAAGTAAAATAGACGTTTAAATTACAAAAAATCAGCATAGAACAAATTGTGTTTTAACAACAACACTAAGTTTTCAACTGCACTAAAAGAGTTGGCAGAGAACAACTATGAAAACTATGATGCAATGAATTTGGAACGAAGTTGAGATCCAACTACATTTTGCTTAATCAAAAGTGCCTCTACAAAGGTTTACTGGAACAAAACATGAGTCTAGACAGCTCTTCAGCACAGAAATTCATGTTTCTGATTGTCGCTGGTAATCTTACTTTGATGTATTTGCATCATCCGTCGATGTTGCCCGACGGTCATGCATAGTTTTCACAAGCTTCTACGGAGTTACGCAACTCAGCTAATGCCTGCTTCAGAAGGATGATGGGGAAAGAAACCTTCGGTGATTGGTTTGATCAGTCTCTCCTTCATTACCTGGACGCAACTTTTGGTTTAGTTTTTGCTTCTCCTACCTCTTGTGGTTCCTTGAGACGGACCCACAATTGCAAGTCACATGTTTCTTCTTGCAGGTCCAGGTCCTGCTGCTGTCCAATTCTTCAGCTGCAGCAGCTTGGTGATGTAACAGTGGGTCTCCTACGCCTCTTGCTCACCCATTCCATTGCTGGGATTGCAAGCGGTACGTGCTCAAAGGTTGAAGAGACGGATCCAAGAACTCTTCGCACGCCTCTTGGATCACCTGGGGGTCTCAAAACACAGTTTCACTCGACAAGGCACATCACCACCACATTCCGTGTTGTTGCATCGGACTTGCATCATCGTTTCCGTCTGCTGCATCATCCTAGCCAAAGGATTCTTTGATTTTTAAAGCCCACCGTGGCCGAGGGTGGTAAGCATCTGATATGAATAACGAGCCACAACTTAGAGTTGTGAGCAGAAATTCATTGATGAGCGAGGTAGAGATTGTTTGAATCACTCGAGGAAATGCAGACTTTGCTCAGTGAGTTGCATATCAATGAGCGTTAAGTCGTGTATAAAACGGATTGACCACAGGATTGGCTCTTAAAGAGAAGCTAGATGGCAGTGTCAATCGAAATCTGGTTCATTCGCAATATCATGATGACTGGCTGAAACTTCTCAAGTCCACAAAAAGCTACATGAAAATGGAACTAGTCCCTGGCCGTCGCTACACCAGAATGTCCTTGTCGTAAAAGTGAGTAGAAGATGAATTTGGAAGGGACAGTTAACAGATAGATTGTCTACGAGGTTGAATTCTCACAACGACACAACGTAGGACGAGTTCTGTAAGAGAACGTAGTAACAAAAGACGACGAGGTAGAAGCGATTAAGGTGGAGATTGGATGCCTCCGAGAGAGCGCCGACCGCCGAGGGACAACGGGTGGGAAGATGAATCTTCATCAAGCTCAAGTGGGAATTCAACATCTTCTGACGCTGCTGCTCCTCGTGCTAATGAGGCGAGCAAGGTGGCCCTGTTTTCTTTCTGCGTAGCTGCCATATATGGAGCATACATAACTCAAGGAGTGCTACAAGAAAAAATGTTAGGATCCACAACCAATCTTCGTTCTGTGTGCGATGGGTCATCAGGACTTGGTGGACGTAACTTATCTCATATCCGTTTTCAGCCAATTTTTCCGACTTATTCATCTTATGTCTTGGCTTACTGTCTTCAGATCAACAACGAGGTATGGCAAGGACCAGCAGCGGTTTGATTACCTCACCTTTCTCAACTTGACGCAGTGCCTCGTGTGTTTCGTCTGGTCGTTTATAAGTGGGTACTCACTGTATGCTTCCAACTCTTTCTACTTCCCGCATTTGTTGTATTGAGATCGTCTACTGTCTGCGCTATGTTGTGATTACATCTGACAGCTCTGTGCTTTTACATACAAGTGAGAATCCAAAACTAGAAAGCACCAAAATCCTTTTAAATTTCTTATAATATATTTAAATTTACTGTGAGCCTTCGTGATCTGAAAGGGGTGCATAGAGTCATTCTCTAGAATTGAAGTGTTTCTGAATGCGTAGATGTTCATGGGTGCTTGTAGTGCTGAAGATATGGCCCGGAGATCCAGGCAGCGAAGCACCAATCTTAGAGTACTGCTGGTGCAGCGTTTCCAATGCCATTGGTCCGGCGTGTGGGATGCTTGCGCTGAAGTTCATTAGCTTTCCTGCTCAGGTCAGCATTGCTAGACCTGCATGAGCTCCACACAATTTAATTAGACGGAGCACATCACCACTGAGGTCTTTGAATTTCCAAGCAGCTGCTATTTCTCTATGTCAATGGGCCTTATTTGCCTTTGGCACCCGTGAGCTCGGTGCTTTCCGCACCATAAACGCACTGTCAAAAGTCTACAGTTCAGTTCTGATTCAAGCCTACGTACACACTCCTGTGTTTTTGAGAGATATATCTTTCATGCACCGCAATTCCATTAGAACGCGCTATCAGTACTATTAACCTGGAAAGCAAGCCTTCCAAGAACGAAAACCGGTGTAGATGCTGCAAAGAGAACTGTTATTGTTCTGAAAGCTAGGTAGGTTGCAAGTGATGCATCCGAAGCCTTCAAGAATGGAAATCAATCTCGATTTCAGAGTAGCGTGCACGTCTCTCCTCTTCCCTGCGCTATGCAACGGCTGACATATATGTGCTTGATGCTGTACAACACCACAGGTGCTGGCCAAGTCTTCCAAGATGATTCCAGGTACCACCTCATTTGTTGTGGATACACTGATCGAAGCACATCATGCCAATTCAAGCAGCTAAGTTAAAACTCTACTTGATAGTGGAAGACTGACTCTGGGCGTGTCGCTGATGAGGGTGCGTGGCAGTAATGCTGATGGGAGCACTCGTATACGGAGTCCGTTACTCCATCCAAGAGTATTTGTGCACTTTTTTGGTGGCTGGTGGAGTGGCGGTCTTCGCCATCAAAGTAGCAATACATGCCCCACTCCTTTCCACCTCAGCTTTCTTTCTCATTCTTCATATGTAATCTTCCCCATCCACTCATATTTGTGGTCAAATGCTCCACTTGTTGCTCTTCAACACAGAATTAATAGCTGGATATATTTCAGGAGAGCTCCGGCAAGCCCGGCAAGATCGCCAGTCCAAATGCACCTCTGGGTTACACCTTATGTTTACTTAATCTTGCCTTGGACGGATTCACCAACGCCACACAAGATGCTCTAAGCGCCAAGTGATCACCAGCCCTTGTCTTTCTCTCTCCCGCTAATACAAATGCTTTATTCATCAACTGTCGGTATGGTGATTCACTCGTGTCACCGATCCGCGCATAGAAAGCTTACTACAGTCGATTTTGGTTGGGTGTTTGCGTTCGGACAGGTATCCGAAGGTGACTGCATGGCATCTGATGATGGGGATGAACCTGTGGGGTGCCCTGTATATGTGCCTGTTTATGTTTCTGGTGCCGGGTGGGGGAGGCTACGCTGCTGTCTCGTTCTGCCTATCCCACTCCGAGGCCGCTCGGGACATCTTCCTGTTCTGCTTGTGCGGGGCCGTGGGGCAGAACTTCATCTTCCTCACCATCAGCCACTTCGGGGCGCTGACCAACACCACCATCACCACAACCCGGAAGTTCGTGAGCATTCTCGTGTCGTCGCTATGGAACGGCAACGTGCTGTCTGCACAACAATGGACTGGCGTGGCCATGGTGTTCTTAGGACTCTCGTACCAGATCTGGTGCAAGCACCAGAAGAACACGGCCAGGCTCACGCCGGTCACTAACGACTACACTGGCGAAATGAACAGCGCCGCTCGGTCCAGATCAGCTACCAAGAGAGGGAAAAATTAACCTCACCCTTACTCGGTTTTCGTCCATGGTCCATTTCCCATAGAGGCTGTCTCATGCTCTGGAGCTATTTATGATATTCAGATGTGCAACGAATACATCCCCAACATACCCCATGAGGATTTTGAAGACTCAGCTATCAACCTGAAAATGTGGTTGGGACACGAGCAGATGAACCTAGTGTGTGCTGGCCTGCACGATCTCCCATAGCCCAGTATCAATTCTTATTTTGCATTAGAAAGGGTCCAAATTGAATTAGATGAGAAGGAAGAAACTTGTGGGTGGCGAGTCTGTCTCTGAACACACAAAGCTCACGATGCACCCAAAGACTTTCAGAAACCGTCACCGGCTGGCTTTTCTAGCTAATCTTTGATTCTACAGATGTTTATGAAATCTGAGGCAGCCCTTTGTAGAAATCTGCCAAGAGTTCTTCGGGTAAGAATTTGCTCCAGGATGCAACCAGTCCGAATATCAGAGCAATTCGATCGTATAAGACAAGTACAGCCTTTTTGACACACGATATTTGTTGTGCAAATCTTGAATCATTTCGGAAACTGAAGGCTACAATTCTGCGCTGGAGGTTTATACCTGCTGTGTAGCACCAAGTGCACAGACCACAAGTGTGATTTATGTCTAGCCAACGGACGTCACCCCATCGTGTCAACTTTTAAACCAACATTTCCCTGCTGCACATGTTCAGACTGGATCTCAAATCGGAATCTGCTCTGAAAAAAGGTGACCTCCATAGTCTTATGCCACGCACGTTCCAAAGCGCTGCCGTCACTACCAATGAGATAAAATCGTGTATCAAAACGACTGGCAAATGGTGTGTAGTCTCTCAGTTACAAGACCCACTAATACATTTCTTTTTAGTCACAATAGATGTAAAAGTAAGAGACAGAAGTGAGGGTTAATATTTCAAGTAAAGGTGGACTAGTTGGTCATTATTTGGTGCATAAATGTAAATTTGAGGTTTTTAAAATACTGCATTACAGATTTTATTAGTGAAAAAGATATTTCTTATAAGGTTTTATAGATAACATGGAAGATGGAGGTTTGGCACTCTATTCTTGCCATGAGTTCTAAGTATTACTAAAATAGAAACTTGATTTGAATAAAACCCTGTTTGTATTGTTGACTCCCCTTATTGTACTAAGTGATCTTCTATTTTCAAAATGGATGTGAAATTGTGCAATATTGGTGTATATTCCAATTGATAAGGGTTTAAGGTTTGAGATTTGAAATATTTTTTCCAATATGCTTTCTTCTTCGCATGCTTCCAAATATATATTTTTATGAAACTGCAAAAATAAACTATATATAGCTTGCTTTTAAATGGTCAAGTGTAATAGAAGTTATTAGTCTACAATTCGAAAGCATTGACCTTATTTGTTGCACTAGATACAAGGGTTAAAATGATATTGGATCTAAACTAGTAACATATCTTTCTTTTTTTTGATTTTTTGAATTTTTTTTTAAAAATTAATTGCTCTATTGAATACAAAATTAAAATTTTATTTATAAATTAAAAAATCAACAAATCATTTTTTTAGGTTATTATCATTTAAATATGTATATGAAATTTCAAAAAGAAAACAAAAAGAAAACAAAAAAAAACAAAAAAAAAACAAAAAAAAACAAAAAAAAAACAAAACAAACAAACAAACAAACAAACAAACAAACAAACAACAAACAAAATCGAAAACCAAAAATCTAAATAAATAAAGATATAAAAATAAAAATCTCTCATTTAACTTATATTATATAATTAATACATAATCAACTAATTATAGACATAATTAGTACCTTTGAATAAGATACACACTAATAATTAAAAAAATTAATCTAAAACTAAATACTTAAAAAACTTCTTTAAAAAAATTAAATAAAAAATAATTCTACAATTATTAACCATTAAAGTATTTAATTTTTTAAAATAAATTGATTTAAAAATACATATATTTTTAAAAATAATTTTACATGTATATATATATATATATATATATATATATATAAATATATTTGAAAATATTTAAATTAAATTAATTTAATTTTAAAATCCTCTTATCGTATGTTCCGCAAGAGAAGCTTCTCAACACCTGCCACCTCTTCCGCGAGCAGCCACTCCACCATCGACACGCGGGGCAAGATTCTGGTAATAGCCCCTCGCACGCTCACAGGGTATTACCATTACCTTCCCTATCACCGCGGCCACTATCGCTCCAGCGAAGACCAAGTCGTCGGACAGGGAGCTCCAAGCCAGGGAGGGAGGAAGGATTCTGAATCCTCGTCGCCAAAACGCTGGCGTCAAGCGGGTCGCTCGGATTCATAATTGTGGCCCCTTGTAGTCAAAAAAAGACCCATGAAGAATAATTTCTTCCTATTACGAATTTCGTGTGTTTGATTCTGATGAGGTGGGGCTCTTTTCCGCCGGAGTTGAAGTTTGATCATGAGGAGGTTGATTAGTTGGTTGCGAAGGACACAAAGTATCGAGGTGGTGTTGGAATCTTGCAGTTTCAGGAGACGAAAGACTTTTGTACATTTGTAATTTTGTTTTTTGAGCGAAAGAATTGCCCACTTGGGTTGTTGACGTAGACAGGGAGGGAAGGGAGAGGGTGGAAATTGGGGTGCATCCTTTGAGGTTTTGAGGAGATCTGGGTGTTTTGGAGCGTGACGCTGTTGTTTGGAGGTTGCGAAGTGGATAAAGCGAGAGAGCTTGTTAGCAGTAGTGGGGAGCGACAGGGAGAATGGACACGAGAGGGGGCATGGTAGCCAGGGGGGAGAAAGTCCTGAGTTGCAGCGGGGGAAGCTCGAGAGGGGGTTGGAGGTGGACGTCATGCGGTTGACGCAATCGGGAGCAGCGTTGGATTCGAGTCGCTTGCCGTTGCACAGTCCACTAACGTCGCCCTTCGCGCCGGATATGTCTGTCAAGGAGGTGGATTGCCTGCTCCTGTTCTTTCCCCTCCTGCCCTCTCCTTTTCTGGCTCCTGTTTTTGGCTCCTACTGACTTCGTGAGTTCTTTGAGGTGATTCATTTATGCCATTTCTATCCTCGTTCATGTCGTGGAATTGAATGTTGGTTGATCGTCGCATGCACTTTAGACACAAGAGTAAACCATGATTCCGTGAGGAATTTGGTGCATGTTTGCTTTTCTTTCGGGGAAGCTTGTGTCCAGTAAGAACCTCCGCAAGGCTCATTATTCGATCTCCAATTCGCTTGTGCTTCATTGATTTCACATTTTCCATGCATTCGATCACCATTCACTTGATTCTTTTATTTTTTTTCGTTTTGTAAGTACAACATTTGTTTTACCGTCCACGCCTGCGTATGAAGGAATCTTGTTAACATTTGTAACGTATCCACACCATGTGATTCTCAGTACTATGTTAACTCTTCTACCGAAGGTCGTTTGAGAATTTGAGAGCAATGCCAATGAGCCTACAACTACAAGCAATTTTATTAAGGCATACGAAAGGTTACGAAGTTTTTAATTTATCCATGAAACCGTCGAAGTGCAGACAAGAGTGCGACCTATTACATGCTAATTGAACACTTTTATACACCAAGTTGTAAGTAAAACGCAAAGCTGGTTCTCAATTGAATTAACGGCACGGCTGGGAAGTACCTCGTGTTAAAAAGTGTAATAGTTCTAAGAATGTGCCTACACTAGCTCCAGCTTTGGGGTGTTGTGACGCCACGAAGCTCTGCTTTGGATGAATAAGGCTCAGGAAATGAAACAGAAGGTGCAAGATCTAAAGAACATACGTCGACATTTTCTGCGACAGAAAGACCAATGTGCAGCTCTTGTTGTGGGACATTATTGCCATGACCAGATCATTCTTCAGGGAGGCGAGATTGTGTATAGTTTGGGGGGGGGGGGGGAGTCTGGATCTTTCATCACCAATGTGTTTCAAGCACTCGGTATGGAATCTCGGGAAAGGGAATTTAGAGTTTGTGTAGATATTTCTATGGTTGGAAGCATATTCTTTACTGTGGGAGCAGTCTCTAATATTTGTTGTTTTCCTAATTCAATGCACTAAAACTTGATATCTTCTTGCAGGTAGCTTCGAAGGTTGGGCCCGACTTCTTGTACTGTTCAAAGATTTCACACCCACCGAAAGTTATTGCAGACCAGAAAACTACCGAATTTTTCGCTGACTTCACACAAGAGGAGGAGAGGATTCTGAAGGCTGGAAATATTTGTGCTCCGATTGAATCGATGGACATTCCCGAAATGGATTATGAATTAGGTCTCGTGGTGGGAATTGCTGGTGGAGTGTTGCTTGAAACGTTGCAGCATATTGTTGACGTGGCCCGTTATGTAGTGGTTGATGTGCAGGTAAATTTTCTTAGTATTCTGCCCTTTGTCAAAATATCAGGTAATGGGTCAGAGATTGGGGTTTAAAAAGGCTAGCTAGAAAGGATACAACACGATCCACTAGAGGCTAGACTATTGAAATGCCTTGTGTTTAAAGCGATCCATCTCAAGGACTTTGAATAGATTGTTACACCGCCCAATGGTTGCTGTTATTTTCTTGAGAAAGAACGTTACAGAGCGATGAGGAATTTTTTGTACTGATAGACCAGCCTTTACCAAGTCTTACACCCTGTTCAAATTTCACGCTGATGTTTCCAGGCACTCACAAGGACCATCGATTCAGAAACTGGCCTGATTGGGCTTCAAAATTTGGAGGATACTATTTTTTATGACATGCTTGAGGACATTCATTTTTTGAAAGCAGCTCGTAACGAAGCTCTGTTCATCGATATCGAAAACGTGAGTCAAACGATGTGCCTCATTGTTTCTGAGGGAAAGAACGGCTGCAGGATTTACTCCAAAGACCAGGAGTTTTGTGTCCCTGCATTTCCTGCGATAGAAGTAGACCTTATAGGAGCTGGAGATAGCTTCTTGGCTGGCTTCTCCGCAGGCTTATATAAGGGCGTTCCTATGGAACAGGCGGTTTTAATGGGCAATTACTTTGGTGGCCTTGCAGTATCTCAAGTTGGAATTCCCCTTTTTACAGCCAGTCAACTTGAGGTACTATTTACGTTTTCATTTTGTGCCTTGTTACAAATCAGCTCTTACATAAGCTTTGGTAACATTATTATTGATTGGTTGATTGATCGATCGATTTATTTATTTATCTGCTAATGGCGTGTTATCGAAATTGATTCATTCGCAAAGTTCAATAATTTGTAGGGTTTCTCTCGGTATTCCATGTTTTGACTTGCTTGTTTCCTTGCAGTCAACGGATGAGACACGTAACGAAGTTCTCATTGAAAAAAAATCCGTACTACATCCGCACTGCACTTTCGGGCAGTTAGTGATAACTTGGACAATGGTACTTCAAGCAAAACCTTGAGATTGGCTGATTTAGGTACCAACATTGTTACGATTCCACTGCATGGTGGCATCCTCCTCGCAGCCAGATGGACTTCACCAGGGAGAATTGTTTTCTTAAAAACGTCTTGTACCATCTGTAATTGATAATTTACCAAGGCTCCTTCAGTACTTCATGAGCACCATTCTTGGCAAGATGAAGAGGGGATAGCGAGCAGTTTTCAAAGTCTGCCACCCTAGACTGTCCTTAATGATGATGAACATCTCTGTAGGCTGGTTCTTATCTAAACTTGGGTACCGCGCATATTTTGCGAATTGTACTTAGCAGTGTCATACTTTTCTTTTATTAGCAGCTCAGCCTCTACATAATTATAATTTATGCTGAATTACAAGTAAAATCAGGGTATAGATTCACCATTGTAAGAATCTGTTCATGCTTCCAATTTTGAGAGTTGATTCAACGTTAGTGTTGTTGATGATTGGAGAGGAAATGCGTTTGACTATCCACTTGGATCGACCTGAAAGGATGTAAGGGTCTGAGATGCTTGGATGCCTCATCGTCATTTTATATGAACTTGATTATGTGCATCCATACTGACACAATGTCCCAGGTTCCTCCCAACTTCAGTTCGTAATCCACTCAATGTCCTTGGCTCGTGGGGCTACCTCCAACTTCCACGTTAAATGAGTTATCGAATCGGTAACTTGATGTCCCATTCTGGGAGGGTGCTACCCTAGTCTAAAATTCGATCAAACATGTGCTTGGGACAGACTAGTCCTTCCAGGCCAAAGGGACCTGGGGACTAGAGATCAAACCGGCTGTTCTCAAAATGCTCAGTGACCTGGTGCACTTAACTTCGGAAGTTCAATGGGGAGAAAGTGAAGCTTGAGCAATCGATCGACATGCCCAACTCGTAGTCAGAAGTTTGCATTCCACTAAAGAAAACAATAAACTCTGATTTGGGAGTTCTTCGACGGCAAGTTGAGCTGGAAGGTTTTCTGGACATTTGCAAGCCCCTTGGATAATTCAGTCGGCATGATTACGTTTCCCCATCTTTGAATTACAGTTTTCTGTAGTTATTGAGCGCTTGGATAGGGACTGCTTCACATGGCGAATTACCAGGCATGCATTCAATGATCTCCTTTGTGCAATAGAACCATGACTTTTCACCTCAGGAAATCTGATGTTCAGGCCGCAGGTTGTAAGCTTTTTTCATCATTCACAATAAATGACGAAGGCGCGAAGCGATGTGCAATGAAATTGAAATTCAATAACACATTTTGTTATTGGCAATTTTTGAGAGTTGGCCATTCCATATGAAGTAAATTGAGGGTGGTGAGTTTCAGATCTGTTGAAATAATAATTATCAGTACGATATACTGACTGGTTTACATTCATTATAGGACTCGCTTTTTTATACAAGAGATCGCTGTCAATTTGTAATCTAGTCCTGAGGCTGTTCTCATACGTCATCATTTCTATTTATGCAGAGGAGCTCAATGGCTTATTCCTTTAGAAGCTTCTGTAGCATTCGAGAGTTGGAGCAATACCCCGCCCACTCCCGTTAAAATCCTTCATCCAGCAAAGCCCTTCGCCCCCTCTTTTCTCTACGCGCTCATCACCTCAGAGAAGTTCATGAAAGCATTTGTGTAGGACTTTTGATCTTACATTATGTACCAGCTTGCTAAGGAAAATTGACGGGACTGTATATGCAGTGCACTCCGCATCGGTAAGTTGCCGCGGTTGCGACGAGAGTACCGACACATGATACAGGCTACAAATGTAGAGATTATGTTGAAGATTGTCTAGGTAGCTGACTTGAAGAGCATAATCGCTAACCTCCCAAGACAGAAGTGGATAAATGAACCCGAAGAGTGCGTTACGTAGGATCCAAAGCTTACACCAGTTATACATTGCCACCCTGAACCATACGCCTTGTCAAATTGCTGCACAACCACCACCAAGTAACCTACAGTTTAGAGGATATTGTCAAAGTTTTTCACGCCCAGCAAAAGGAATACTATAATTTCCAGAGCTGCACTCAACGGGTGTATTAATTGTTTCCATCTATATATCCTACACTAGGCAAATAGAAAGTTGGAAGAACAGAAGATGGAGAGGCTTCTAGTTGGTGACGGTCAGACAAGACAATTTCAGGCTGCAGCACCTAACCGCCAGGGTTGCCAGAAGTTTACATTCTTGATGTAGTAAGCAACGTCTTTGTAATCGGTGCCCTCATGAATATCTAGTGCTTCGGTAGCAGCCCTGAGAGCATGTGACTGCAGCTCCTGCGGCATATCCGTTTCACCGACCACAACCTTCTCTTCCAACTTCGAAGGTTTAAATGTTTTCCTCCCATTCTTGGATTTTGCTTTTGGCACGGTGGTCAGCTCAATGTCTAGCATTCTGTCTGAAAAACTTAACTCACAGATTCTCCAGAACGACAACTGTTTCTCCTTCTGTCAGGCTGGTGCAGATACTCTGTATTATGAGGAACAATAAAGACCCGTTTCCTAATAGCGCATCCGCTTCAATAATAGCCTCTGGACATGTATGGAAGGAAGGAAGGAAGTCGGCATCACAAATGACACTGATAAGAAAAACCGACAAACCAAAGAAAACTTCGAATTCTCTACGAAGCTAGACCCCAATTGACGAGACCGATGCACTTCCTTCGCGTCCACAATTAGCTCTCGTTTGATCCACCAACGCCAAAAGAGGCAACGTCACGCACTGTCGTCTCGACCACGGCGCTGCTGCAACCAACCGCGACGAAACTGTCGACCCATCAAAACAAAAAAAGATCTAGCCCGCGAATACTCCAAGGTGAAGGGAGGAGGAGCAGGTATCTCCCTAGAAACCAGACTATAACGCAGCAGGGCTCCCCGAAGGAAGCCAGAACCACCTGGATTCAAGGCGGGGCGTCGCCGGAATCCGCTGAGAATCAAGGTCCAAGCATCGAAGCTCCGACCCCACACTCACAACGATCCTCGCCCTCAAAATCCGAAACAGTCGCACCTGGGCCCCTCGGATCGTTGCGCACGGCCGCTCGATCTCGCCCCCGCTCGCGCCTTCGCTCGCAGCACGCAACATCAGTGTCTCGCACATTCCGGCATGCACAGAAATCATGCCCGATTCCACTAATCGGCTTCCTCATCTCGTTTCGCTGGGCTTAGTCGACAATCCATCTGCGGGGTCCGCAATCAGCAGTTTCGATCCCTCGACTGATCGCAAGCGGCGCCGCTGCGTGCCCGCGGCGGGGGCTTCACCCCGCGCTCTGGCGACGTCGGTGAGTCAGCTTCCCCCACGGTGTGAACGGGGTCATTTCTCATTTGATTGAATGAATTTCGGTTCTCGGTTGGCATGGCTACGTCCATCCCCTTGGTAGGAGTCCTAAATTTTTTGTTGTTGTTGCGTGTTTTGTTGTATGTCCATAAATCACAATTGTATTGGATTGTTTCAAGTGTGTTCTAGAGAGGATTGTAGAGGCACCACTACTTGGTAATTTTTTTAAACATTTGGAGTTGAAATTTGCAATTTAATTAGCATGCTTAATTATGTTGGGAGTCATTGAAATCGTTTTAAAAACTACCCAAAAAATCATGTACTAGTGCAAATAATAGTTTTGAGAAATTCATAAAATAAAAATTACTGTCCTTGTGTGTTTAGTTAAAAAAAAAAAAAAAAAAAAAAAAAAGTTATGTGACTTTTGTAACTTCATTAGTATATGGTAGATTATAGAGTTTGGAAAAATAAAATTAAAAATAAAAAACTATCATAAATTGAATTACTTATTTTAAAGTTTTTAAAGTAAAATATTATATCATTTTATTTTAGCATTAATACTGATAATATTTACTACTTATATAAATGGGTTGTGATATATAAACTTATACATACCATATATTTTTCTAGTATAGATATGTTTCCGTTTTCTTAAAAAACCAACTAAGCTAAAATATAAATTAATTCCTATAAATAGAAATTCACATCTTATTATTGCAGTACATTACCATGAATTATCTTTTGAAAAATACACTGAGTCATATTATATAAATAACACTAAGTCCTAACTAATAACAAGTAATGTCAAAATCAAAAAGGAAATATTATTTCTTTAATACCTTGATTTCAAATATGATCACACAATGACCAAAGAATTTTATAAAATTATTACATGTTGTGAATAATGGAATGATGATACCCTCAAGTAAAAAAAAAAAAAAAAAAAATGCAAGAAGAGAAAAATTATTTGGAATTAAACAACCATATTATGTTTACTCATTTATTTCTTATAGTGACTTGTATTTTTTTTTTATTCTCAAGTTTGATTCAAGTAAGTCTTGGTGTTCTAATTTTGAAAGATTGCGGATTGTCTTATAAATTATAAAGGTATAAATTTCAGTGTTGTAGGCATTTTTTAATGAGATATGCTACACATGCATTTTCTTAATTCAATTCTCAAAAAAAAAAAAAATAACAAACAAACAAACAAACAAACAAAAACAAAAACAAAAACAAAACAAAAACAAAGAAACAAAGAAAGAAAGAAAGAAAGAAAGAAAGAAAGAAAAATTGTTTGTGGTTATTTTTCTTCACAACTAGACATTAAATAAATAAGAGTATTGCTAATGTCACCACAATCCCCCATCCACCACATGCTATACATGTCTTTGTCAATGTTAAATAAAAAAAGTATAATTTTAAACAATTATTTATGTATATATATAGTATTTTTAAAAGAATAATAAGTTATTTTGACTAATTCTATAATTATATGTTTTTCATTTTTCTTATTAAAATTAAATTCATTTTATATATGATTTAGAAAAACAGAAAAAATGTTGAAAATATTAACAAAAATCTTGGTTGGAATAAATTAAACTAATATACATATATATATATATATATACATATATATAATGGATGGCATATTGTGGTGGCAAATAGCAAAAATTATGGTAGCAGTAACAATACCTTTCAATGAAACCCATCACATATTTTGCTGACAAACAAAGAAGTCTATATCCACTTCTTTGCAATCAACAATTTGACTTAAAAAATAAATTTAAAATCTTTACTTCAACTGATTTCAGAAGTGGCAATCAGATGTATAAACAATACAACAATCTTAATTCAAAAGTTTCATAATTTACAATAAAAATGATGAGAACCAGAAATTAAATAAATTTTCACTTATTATACTGTGACTATTTGTGTAGATATATATATATATACATATATTCACACACACACACACACAAGTAAACATTATCAAAAAAATCAATTAACACATTTCAACAATCCATTTATATTGTAGTGCAGCAGCACTCAGTGAGTAAGCTGATGAAGGGGAGCAAAGAAGCTCAGAGGATATTTCACTGTGCTCAACATTGCCACCAAAATGGTCCATCTGGAGAACAGGAAAAACACTCAAAATATACGGTCACGTAAAAGAAAAGAGTTCCCAATTCTATTGCCATGTATTTCAGTGCCAGTGAACACTGTGGTTTGTAAATCAAATAATAAAAAAATTATTATTATTATTATTATTATTATTACTATTACCTGAAAGTACTGCTAAATAATAATACTACCCCTTCCCCTATTAAATTTAGTAAGTGATTGATACTATGCTTCATTTTCTATTCTTTTTAACTAAAGAAATTCGCTGACTTGTGATGCATTAATATTTAAGGTTACTATTTGTCTGCATAATAATGATGCATACATAACAAAGATTTTTTTGTTCGCACTTCATGGAAAAAATGATATATATATATATATATATATATATATATATATTACAATAATAAATCAATTGTACCTTTACACTTTAAACGCATTTTGGCCGATGTTGCATGATCTGATGCTCAAATACACACAAAATGTCCACCACAAATCGAGAAATGCCGAAGAGGAACAGCTCCTCATTAAACAGTGATTAAGCTTGAAATTAGCATCGTTCAGTGTGGTGGATTTAATGCAATTAAACGTGTCCATTGACCCATAATTCACGTCAAAAAGAATTCTATTTCTATTTTAAAACTTATTAACATTTTTTTTTTCCATTCATTGCTGGCATTCCATTATGGCCCTTCTCAACACAAAAACTGTATTTTTCAGATACCAGAATGTTTTTCTATGGAAGGATCATTCATGGATCACTGTTCAAAATCCTGCTGCTCGATAATAGACTATCTGCTCACCGATTCAACACATCCAACAGCCACTATTCAATCATCGTACACATGTTTCAGGGAATCACCGACTAAACCCAACTGCAACGATCTCATCTCGATGACGCAAAACATCATGTCTAAACTGCAGACTCTGGCTATAAAATCCGCTGCTTGAAGAATCTGCTTTGATACGTAGGAAAAATGTTGCGTGCCGGGTCATTGCAGTGCACAATAATACGTAGAATATCTCGATTTAAGGTCATGAAACAGTACCTAGTGAGATTTATGAAATGGGCATCCGGTACGCCAATCCGATGTTTAAAGTGTTCCGCAAGAGGTCTTCACACTCCTCTACCGAAACGGCTCTGTCTGGGATGGTGTTCTACACAGACCAGGATCGCGTGTTGTTAAGCTCTGATCCATCAAATCGTGGTTCGCTCTTCAGGCAGTGTTACAGTATTTTCAGGGAGGAAAAGTCGAAAACGTGGTTCTGGCGAGTGATCATGCTCATCAAAATTGATCTTGCAGGAATGTGCTTGGTGCACAAGAATCATCACGCTACCCAGGATTTCAAATAAAGGCCAATTGGACGGATAACAATTCTAGGATAAGACCATCGACATTGAAAATCACGAGCATACATGGTGGATTCTCACCAGGAATATGTACAAGGTGCGGAGGCTATCCTCTATGAAGATGAGCATGAGATTTTTAGTAGTCGTCGTAGTGCCGGTGAATGTGACGTGCAGGTCGTTGGACCTGTTCCAGCCGTTTCGTTCATGGACATCCACGTCGTTAAAGAGTCTCGTGTTGATGACCCATGTCCACTCAGCCAGATTCATACGACGTTTTCTTCTCAACTCCTGAATGGTAAAACGCATTTGTCAGCTGAGAGAATTGGGGTGTGAATGTGAGCCAATTGAGGGTATCGAGCTGCAGAAGGCAAGGAATTCGGAAACAGGAGCGGTGACACACCTGAGCAGCTGGTCGAGTGATTTGGAGATGGGCTTGTAGAAGTGTTGGTGAGGTTCGTGGTCTCGAATCTTGCGAGGCACCTTGTGCACGTTGTATGGAGGGTATGGCCCATAAAAGCAGCGCTCTGAGAGCAGTTTCAGGCTGGCGTGACGCCCAAGGTTTGCAAAATTCTCACGCATCTCCGCGTCCGGGGTCTCCCATGAACCTGCAGTTGTGTTGGATCTGTTAAGTTTGCGTCCCATTTGTTGCGAGGATGATTTTGTGACTGGCTGTTTCGACAATAGCAGTGGCACTCCACACATCTTGCCGAGAAGTCGAACAGGGTCGTCGGATATATCGGTGTCAACGAGACCTCCACCGCACACCATTCCCACTTTCACATCCTGGACCGAAGTGAAAACATCTTCTCAATTATTGCAACACACCATGAAGCAGTCGTAGGGGAAATCTTCTCTACTGACTTGAGATTTGACCTCACATCTGACAATGACAACCTTGAAAAAGGGAGACCAGAGGTGTAATTACATTTAGTAAACTTTTGGAAAAACAGATTCAGCAAGGAATGTTACGACGCAACGTACCTCATCCCCACTCTCTTCGTCCTTAACATCATTGTATTCTCGCTTGGCATTACATCGGAGAAGAAAAGAGGGCGAATCAGGTTTCGAAGTTGGCTCTGTGCTCTCACTTCTGTATTGAAACGAACCTGATACTGAAGAGCTTGACGTGAAACTGGACGATGCGTCGTGGAACCTACTTCTCTCTCCGATGGTTTGTAAGCTTAAAGACGTTCTAACTTCTGAGGCCCTGCTTCTGCGTGCAGGCATGCCATTGCTCTGATTCTCGGTTGCAATCTCTGGTATCAGCAAAGAAGAGCTTCTTACTCTAAGAGCACTATTATTATGGACTGTGCTTCTGGAACTTGTACCATGTAAAGTAGGGTGAACGTTGTGCGTTTTCGGCATTGACGTCGACTGAGGACGAATCTTTTTGGGACTCTCCCAGTTAGGATGCTCTACTATTTCGTCATTCCAGGGGGGCCGAGTCATTCTGCATTTCGACGGAGACCTATAGCGACGCCCCGACGTGCCCAAACCCTTATCAACGTCCGACTCACCTTCAAATGAGACGTGCAGTGCCATCCCTCGTTCTGACCTTGTACGCAGGTTGCTAATGTGATTTAAGCTTGAACTGTTTAAGTTCCCCTTAATAGACCCAGTTCTCAGGGTCCTAGACGAAGCATCCGCACTAAAATCGTACACATTGTCCAGATGGTGGCTGGCACTACCCCTATCGACCACTAATTGCTGAACTGATTTCCGCTCTAATCTCGTCGGCGAGACAGACCCGCTGCGTGTTCCACTCCCCCTGGGTGTTCTCGGCGTCGTCGGGGCAGTGTCGACCCTGTCAAGCGAGGAGAAATGGCGGGGACTATGTTCCTCATCGACGCTAGGCTCAACCGGAGTGAATTTCGTGCGTACGCTAGTCCCCTTCAAGGATTTCAGAGAATACCCCACCGTAGGCTCCATCTCTACAGAATTTCGAGAACCCAGCTCCCAATCTTTGAGGGAGATGTCAGTTCCGTCGTGGTCCAGCGGTTTAGGCGCACTACATGTTTTCATCTCTCCCCCTACTTGCAGTGTGACAACACCCTTGTCCAATTCGCCAATCGCCAGATTCCACGACTCCACATCACGCAGTTCCATCGCTGAATTTGAGAATAGTTCGTCAACCTGAACGGTTTATCGCTATTGAAAACTTTATGCGTTTGATGCAGAAATGATGACAAGAATAATTATAGTGATAATACTAGTAATAATTAGCTTTTTAGAAGAGCTTGACAAAAAGGCTAGCGTCGCTCCTCACCGATTGTACCATGTTCACCGCAAAAGCTTCGTACGATCGGACACCACTACTGGCTCAGGAATCGAAATCCTTCACCCAGCACCACGGTGAAATCGAAAAAATGACCATGCTGCCCGAGCACACAACAAGATCCAAATGCTGGACAACAGCACTGACCTGATCTACACTGTTGTCACTCCTGCATTCAAATACAAAAAAGCACCAGAACATCAGACTTCTAACAAGTGACCACCCAGTGCGCCATGACGCACATCCACAACCAAAACTTAAAACTTCCACGAACTGCCAGTAAACTAGAACAGCTCTGAGGAAAGAAACACTCGGTGGGTACACTCAAACCAGTCCAAGCACAGGAACACACTGAGTCCAAGCGTGATCAAACCCAAGCTCTCACCATCTCAACCGAACACTCACACAACATGAAAGGTACACCCGCAATTGTGTGATCGAAACCAAAAAGTCGACGAGCTGCTCCTACCATTACCCTCCGCCGCACCGAGCTGAAACTCACACCCGGTAAGAAAAGACAAAAAGAAAAAGCTCTATTAATGAGACTGCGAACCCGGGAGGATCCCTGCTCTCTGCAACACCTACGCAGCCACAAATGTGCAGAAACGACACTCGAGCTCGAGGCTTATGTCCAGATAGCCCCGCAGCTCGAGTTCCTCCACGTAGCATTCATCCTCACGGTTGACTGCGCTCAATCAGGAACACGACTATGTCAACTGCAAGCTCGGATGATGCTGGAGGCGCTGGTGCTGGTGCCGATGCGGAAGTTTAAGCCCAATCAGTCTCGGCTTCTGTGTTGGGGGAATGAGAGCGGGGATCGATCGACCACTCCATCGCCGGGAATGCCGCCTGGGAATTTGAACACCGCTTCTTCTAAACTAGAACGGGCGTAACGCAAATCCTCATCATCTTTAGAAACTATGTCCCTCGTTATCAGGGTCGGTCTCTCTCTCTTACGGGCTCTGGGTTGTAAATCTTGTCGCCATAGCCGAGAATTTCACCAAAGATATTTATATATATATATATATATATATATATTATGATAATAATTGGGGACTAGTAAGCGTTCGATGGGCGATGCAGAGAGTGGGAATAGCGCAATTTAGGACGAGAGGTGGTGAAACGTGTCGGCCGGAACGAGGAAGTTCCGATCCGATAAGTTGCTGACGTCAGGAATCCGTTGACATTGGCCAAGTGCCAGGGTGGCACCTGGACGGCCCGGTTGGGGGTCTGGGTTTGAAAATAACTTTGCTTAGCTGGAATCTCTCTCGCTCTGGTCCCGCCCTCCACGTCATCAGTCCTGAATTCAGTGCTGTTGTGTGTTCAAATTTCTTTTATGATACAATTTTTTAAAAAGAAAATAAAAGAAACAAACAAACATGAAAAAGTTGCTAATTAGATGTCAGTGGTATTACATGTATATGTGGTCCCTTTTATGAAATATATATATATATATATATATATATCTATGTGTGTATTAAAAATAGTTGTTGGATTTAATCCATTGCAAAAGACATAGTTGTGGAACTTTCTTTTTAAAAAATCATAAAATTGTTTTTAATAGAATCATCAAATGATTACATTACATTAATTATACTATAAATTATTATTTTTAGAAAAAATATCATATAAATCCCTGAAATATGTTGAAATATCAAGAATATCCATGTATTTTTAATAATAGCAAACATATCCTTCTTTTTTGTAATAATTGCAAATCTACCCTTGAGTTTGATAAGGTATAACTTTATTTCTATTTTATGTGAATCTAGGGTCCAAATTGTGACTTGTGCACATTTTGGTGTAGCATTTTTTCACATAAGTTAGCCCCCTAAGAATCAGACGCCGATGCTACCACCATCTCCACCATCAATGTCATTGTTGGTTGTCTTGATGTGCTTGATTTCTATTGCTTGATTGTTCATAAATTGTTAGCAACAAAATGTATATCATAAAATGATCGAGAAGCTGAAAACCTAAAGAATAGTTGTTGTAGATGTGGCATTGCTCTCTAATCTGCTTTGAATTACTTCTTAAGATTAGGGGTAGCATGTTGGAAATATAAATGAGATTTTTGACAATAAACTCAATGTATTTGTAGATTAAATTCTTGCAAAGTCTAGAAGGTTCTTCTGGATGTGGCAAGAAGTAGCATCAAGAAAGAGTTGTGACTAACAATAAAATTAGTCATTCTTAAAGTAGGAGCCTAGTACTATATCATTAACTTGACAATTGTTTATGCTTGTATATATAGACATAGATTAGTAGCAGTCTGAAAGCAATGCAAACATTAAGGAGATAAATCAAGGAGATAAATCAGTTAAAATTTGAAGAGAAGAAAGCTCAATCCAATATTGGAAGATCGTGATCAAATGTAGGAGTAGCGATAGAGGTAGTGGCAATATTGATGTATGATTTGCAAGGAGGTTGACTTGTACAAAAAAATATTGCACCAAAATGTGCTTAGCACACAATTTTGGCTCCAAATTCACCTAAAATAGGAATAAGATTATACCTTATCAAGTATTAGGGTAGATTTGCAATTATCACAAAAGTAAGGGATACATTTGCTATGATCAAGAATACATAGATTTTCTTGCTATTTCAACATATTTTAGGGTTATATATATATATATATATATATATATATATTTAAAAATATATATACCTCAATTGTATTTATCAAAAATTAGAATACAAAAATTATAATTCCAAACTTAATTGTGTATTTTAACATTATTTTCATGATAGAAGAATGTTTATTTGAGATTTTTTTTTTAAAAAAATTATATTTATTTTAAGTCAAATAATTATACTTAAAACTGATTAAAAGGTATTATATTTTATAACTACCCCAACCTCTAATTGATATAAAATATCGTCAGTTTTTGCATACATGACAATCAATGACGTTTCTTATTTTTTGGTGGGGTGTTTTAGTGTATTGTAACAAGACCAAGTCAACCACTGCAAATCGTTAATAATTTATTAAATATGATAAATATACTCTGATAAAGGATTACATACATATATACACACACATAACTTAGTATTAAGGGTGTAAATATTTTGTTAACATCATTATTCTATGTTTGTGGAACAGTGGCTGAAAGAAAAATGTTTTGGAAAATATTACAAGCACAGTGAGCATGACATGTGTGCAAGCAAAAGAATATAACTTTTTTGAAAGAACCCTACGATCTTTTTCTAACAAGCAACCTTTGTTTAAGCCACTTATTGGTTGCTTTCTGATCCTCAATTTTTAGAAACACCGAAATGTTTAAAAAATAATAAAAAAAGAAGAACTGAAAAAGAGGAGATATCAATGAGAACCAATCTATGGACTATGTGAATTCTCTTGGAATTTGGTCATTCCTCTCACCTAACACTCTTTATTATATTAGAGTTTGAATCGTGACATCAATCATTGATTAATTTAGACTGTCTTAGAGAATTGTATATTTTTCTAAAAATAACAACCTAATTCCTACTAGAAATGATTTTTAGTACTACAAAAAAAAAATGAAGTGGCAATTGTTGAATGAAGGCATAAATATTTGAAAACTCCATTGTTGAGTCAATGAGCACCTCGAATTCAACTCTCTTACTTCATGGCTGAGACTCAAACCCACTTGTGAAGAGAAAGATTTGTTGGAGACAGAGCTTGGTGGCATGAAGCATTCTGAATAAACCGCGGCAAAAAGGATATTGGACCCATATTTAATGGGTACCCTACAAAGGTAGTATAAGATCTTTGAAGTGAATTTTTAATCAGACTTCAGAGCGACTTATCAGCAAGGTCTCAAAGATAACTTCATCGTGTAAATCACCATGATCCATTCGGTATGATAATCTACTAAAGCATAGGGATTCGACAAGGCATAGAACTTTGCAAAATCCGACTCAGATACTAAATTTGCGAAGTGAAAAGTACGTCAGTCTCCTTGTAAATGAAGTGAAATGAGTATGATACATGTGTACAGAAGCTTTGATTCACGAGGATTGGTAGGGGCTAGGGAATCAAAATTTGAGAAAAAACGAAGAATTACAGCAGATAAAAATCGAGCCCAGAGGAGCCTAAAGATCCATCACATCCAGCGCTGAAGCTCACAATCGTGCCTCGCCATCGTCAATCCACGCACAGAAATCTGATTCAAATCGAACCTGTTCACAAACCACGAGTCAGACATAACGATGAAGCAGCAGATTGAAACTTCATAGTATGATAACGGGCATAACTTTGGCAGCAACGAGTACAATTTCTCTTAATTGATAGGATCAGGAAATGCAAAAAGTAAAGTGAAAGAGGGCTTACACAGCATAACCGATGGAAATATCAAGTTTAGACATTTGCGAGAGCAACTGGATTGCTTAAAGTGAAACTTCTGCTCATGCATTCCTTCCACATACTACTGTGGAGCCCGTGATTTAACCATTCGCAGGTCAACAAAGACTTCTTTCAAAAATTTGTGCGCAGATCGGTATGCTCAATTTAATCCCAATTTCCATCCTTGTGATTCCACTTATCCCTCGTCTTCTTTCCGTGTTGAGTAGAATGTAATGATAGTGGATCAAAGCACCGATGTGCACAGAATAACATCGCATTTCATGAGTGAAGGTTGAGAGATCTAGATCTCACTTTCAAGTTCCAACAGCTAAGCCCTGTAAGAAAACACCTACTTAGTTAATACTGCTTCTTACATTTTGTTTTTTAAGGGCACAATCCTCAAGTGCAAAATCCTGACAATGCCAAATAAATCCAGCTCATACAACTTAAAGAGACTGTATAATGTGTGAACAAACACTAAATCTGCAAGTTTCAGTCCACCCAAGCATATCTTTTCTTTCATGGTTAATGATTTTAATATAACCAGGACAGGAAATTTAGAGGAAACTTACTTCAATTTCTGCTCAAGAGGTAGTTTTGAGTGCTTTGTAATGATGGCGGTGAGGCCCTACATCCAGTGCTCGATGCTTGCGTACATCATAAGAACCTGACAACCCCCTGTCATCTGAACAGTATTCTTGAAGTAATTGTAGGGCCCCCTGACTCCTAATGTCACAAATCTGACTCCTTCCGTACGGGAAAACCTTCCGAGATCCTCCAATCAAAGCAGGAGGCTTCACAACCATCTTCGAAGTTGCTGAGTTCGAAGATGATGAATGCTTGCGGATTTTGCAGCAAACTGAGCCAAACAATCTTACCAGATCTTCTGATAGCCAAGTGGTGTCCGATATTGGACCACAGGCCATTTCCACCTTATCATCCTAACGTACCAAAATACCTCCGATAAGTGAGAACTGGAAGCATCATCAAACGTACTGAATATGTATTGAATGATATAACTAATATGACGATATAATAAAAAAATAAAACAAGAATTATAGTCAGTTAAGAATCGCTAAGCACGATGTAGACGGCACTGCTACTTTGTGCTCAAGGGTTATAGTCGTTGAATACTAGTTTACGCTTCAAGAAGGGAGAAATGGAAATAGATCAAGGGCAATGCAAACCAAACACACCTTATCATCATTATCGACATTGTGGCTTCCAGACCGATGATTTGACGGATAGACCTTCTCCTGATGTGGAGAAGTTGGGTGATCGTTATCGCCACTCTTAGATGAGGGTACCTGGACTTGAACGGGCTTCACTTTGGATCCTTGCTTAGTCGGTGTGGTGGAGAGTTTTGTCTTGGCACATGCTTTACCATTTCCAGAAAAAACATTCTCTTCAATTAGACGATGTTGGACACAACTCTTAGAAGGATTTGCAACTATTTTGTCCGATGCCTTCATTAGTTTGATGGGAGGCAGAGACCTGGTAATGACAAGATCGTGCGTTCTACGTCGTTCATCACTTAGAGTCAACTCCTTTATATTTTTCTTCTTCACAGTTGGAGGTAACTTGAAGGGCGTCACCAACTGAAGCTGATTTCCCTGCTGCACAGTAGGGGTGAGCGGCGAGCTGCTACAATTGTGAAACTTCGATGGAGGAGATCCGGATACGATCATGGTTGACACAGTGCACTTGATAGAAGCCATGGCCTCGTCTTCAAATATTGGAGACGGGGTTGATTCAGGTAAACATTCAGCACGCATTTCTCTATTACTGGAACAGCGTCTGAAGTAAGGCTTTTCTTTATTCTCCAGTTGCGAGGAAGCAAGCGATGGTGAACGGCTGTGAATCTCCTTTCTCCGAGATTTTTTGGAACCATTGTAAACTTTCTCAACTACTAGAGGGGCTGCCGGTGGAGACTTGCTCTTAACATCCTTCACAGTTAGAGATTTCCTCGGAGCATCATTCCCTGGTTTTTCAGAATTTGTAGAGGCAGAGTTAAGAACTGATGCACTTCCTCTTAGTCGCTCTCGTCCACCATTCTATGATGCAAATAGTCTCTGAAAGACATCTCCTACATCCACCTCTTTCCGCAGTGAAGAAAATTTGGCAAAATTGGCGTCAGAGTCTGTACCTGCGTTCCTGGCGATTGATGGGAGCGATGCAGACTTCTTGTGGGTTGCCTTCTTTTTGGAGGGCTTCCCAACCACAGTATGTCGTACATCGGAGTTCGCAGGAAGTGACTCTGACGGCGAGGGACCTCTTCTGATCAATTTATTTCCGTTCAACTGACAAGGTACGCTATCTGACTCATCATCATGGACAAGAATAGAACTCATGGAAAGGGGTAACGAAAAAGTTGAAGGTTCGAGTGAAGATAGCTGAATGCTCTCATCGAACATGAATGAAGGAGAAGAAGAAGGAGAAGGTCCCCATTCAGGAGTTGCAAACGGTGTCACCGACGGCGTTACCGTGAGCGTCGGTGTTGTTGGCTCAGAAGTCGACGGTGGTCCAGATGTTCCAATTTCTGGAATCTCAATCTCCAAAACAATGGGTTTCTTGCAAACAGTGACTATCTCATTTTCACTGTCTGGTGGAAAGGATATAAAGGATCCAGGTTCATTGTCATCCTGCAGCTCCTGCCGCAGAGATACTGCATGATTCTCGAGGAAGATAATCTCCTCTTCCAAAATAGCAACTTCAAATAGTAGCTCTCTCGTCTGCAGGCCATATTGATTCGCTTAAATGCGTAAGTTCAAACCACTATTGGAGGACGTGAGGTTCCTCAAAAAGAATTGGAGTTATAACATGGATAATTTACCAACAGGTCTTACGGAATTCTAACAAAGAAGAGTCCAAACACCCACACAAAAGGCTCTAAAGTAGGACAATGACGTAATTAAATTTGAAAATGCGCACCTTAGCTGGAACATATCCAGGAAATTTGGGGAGAGTGCCCGGAGACCTTTCGAGACCACTCTTCAAAGCTTCCCGCAACCAAAGCTCATTTGTTAGCTTCTCCTTCAAGTTGGCCACCTGAATGATCAGTGCAGAAAAAATATTGATTGGGAGTAGAAATAATCGACAACGCATGAATTGACAAAGGATGATGAATTCGCAAACCCTTCAGTCACTCAAAATTCAGCGTTACCTCTAGCTCCAAAGCGAATCGTTGAGAATGAAGATCCGATGAAAGCCCACTCTGATTGTCCTCGACATCATAATGCTGAACCGAAAAAATTAACACATTCGTCAGTCAAGAGCTGTCTTCATAGCAATGAGAGAGGCTCGTAAGTGAAGCATGCATCTGCCAGCAAGTCCTCAAACCAAATTGATTACAGGTCATTACAGAGAAGGCAGTGATCTCTCTTCAGCTTACCAACTACAATATCTACTAAGCATGCCGCATTTGAGAATCTCGGGAACAATTATGATGTGACGTCCCTCGGTCAATTCAAACGAGACCCAGTTTATGTTAATTCACAACGATACATCACTACAGTAGCACCAGTGCAGAAAAAGACGGGAATTATCGCTGTTTTCTTGATAAAATTAACCACTCTTAGATGAAGAAATTACCTGGACCCTGATAGTATTAAATAATGGAGAGAGAGGAATCAGAGGCAACGCACATTCGATTTCCTGCATTGGTTCAATTGCATAGGTTCTGCGACATCCTGATTCCAGCTCAGATACGAAACGACGATCTCGTGAATGGGTAACAAGCACAAAGAAAAGAGTTTTTATGTGAGGTTATCAAAACTTCTCAATGGTAAGACTCAAAAGAAGGCTACACTGTAACCTAAATTAATTCTTGATCGAATGGCGCCATCCCATTACCGCCCCTGGATAGTTTGATTGGCTTGCAGCGGCAGAACAGTGTGTGGTGTCCTTTACCAATATAAGAGAACAATCAACATGCACCTCAACAGTTCTTGAGCTGTAAGAAAATATACCAATTACAGCATTTGTAACCTGGCTTACCTGGCACAATGCCTGCTTATATCCTCAGAATTTTTTTCATATGTTCCAGACCGCCATGAATGGCCTGCTTCAGTCAACAGAAATCCGTAAGTACTTGATTTCTTGATTATCTTGGAAATTAAAAACCAAGAAAAATACTTAAAACATGACAGCATGAAGACTGGAGGCATATTGGTTCACTCCATATTTACTGAAATCTTGCAACACAGATTTTCTATCTTGGACGCAGTAGAGAATGCAGAACGAGAACAATGCAGGTTGTGTAACTGTTCCAAAAAACCCAGAGAGGTCCACGGAACAGAATCTAAGAGATGCTTCTGTCCCTGCAAAGAAATCTAGAGCGATCGGCTCACTGCTGATGCAAAGTACAGAGGGTGATGCGTTCTATTTTCTCACTACAAGGTTACGAAAAGTATCAGTACAAACGAGTACGCGGTACCAGGTCGATTTTTATTGAAATTTTAGTCAGCGACTCACGAAGACTCAAACCAACCACACCAAACCTTACCATACTCTTCTCTCGGATCCAATTCAGTCAGGTACTGTTTATGCAGCAAAAGTAGCCGCATGGAAGGTTCTGCGCGTGAATGCGTTCAGTTAAGTATGAATGGGTTCTTGGTTTTGACACTATACACGATCCGATGTAGTACTCTTCAAGAAAAAAGTGAAAGAGGAGGATACCATTAACTTCAAATGTGACCTTCGGGCATGAGCACGCATCTAATATTCGCAGTGCGAACAGAATCTTTGGGATGTTCAACATTACACATTCACTGTGACCTCCACACTGAAGAAGGAGAGCTAAAGGGAATCGCAACGCTACAAAGTCCGCTTTCTACGACCAAAATGAACATTTTGAAGAGGTCAGCAAACGTTCTGACCTTAGAGGATTTACTCTTTCCAAGTTGATTAGGTTTGAAAGCTGTCATTGTCAAAGCAAATCAAAATCCAAAACACACGCACGTGGCCTTACCAACACAACATTGCGCCGCTAATACGCAAGCAGAGCTCTCTGGCACAGGTGTTCTTAATTAGAGAGGATTCGAAGCAATGTTGCCATCTGCGCATCGACGAAGAACGGAGAAAGAATTCGACTCATTCTGATTCCACGGTAGGAAACAGGTTCCGTTCTAACTTTCGATGCATCATCAAATTGAACGCGGAAAAAACAGCCGAGCAGAAGTCCCATTTGGTGATCAGAACCCCATCAAGAGGCGGATTGAGGGGGAAATCCTGTTCTCGTGCACTGTGAGAGTTGAGAACCCCAAGGCAAATATTGGAAGACACCTTTGAATCCTGCGTAAGGCCAACCTCAACACCCCTTTCCACTCAAATTACACTCGAGCTACTCCACCACTGAATTAATCCATTACTAATCAAAACACCAATTCATCGTGTACTTCGAAACCCGTCCAGATCACAGATCACCTCGCACCAAATTAAAAAGAAATAACACTTCCGGTCGATTGTCTACACAACAATTCCTTGCGAAACTCCACCAACAGCACAACAACAAGTACCTCAAAGTCCCTTGTCCTCAGCGCCGATTCTTCCACCTCGAAAACTTTCCTTCCTCTCTCAAAACTACAACCAAAACACCACCTCGCTACTCCACACGCTCAACAATTCCAAACACTACGATTACAATAATTGGTCTCCTAACCTCTCCACCTCCTCAAGTCCTCCTCAAATGCCGAGAACGGCATATAATTGACACTCTCCCATTGGAATCCAAACCTCCTGAGGAAACAAGTGGAGACGTGGACGGTAGCAGTAGCGACGAATGTGTTGGCGACTCCGCATAAAGAGCTGCATTAAAAAGACAATCGGACAAGGTGGAAAGCACTATTTCTGTTGGCAGCGAGGAAGTAGCAGCCAAGCGCGGCCCCGAAACACACAGGACCTTGAATTTTACCGGAGAAAGAGAGAGACGGCATCAACTCTCACACCGCAAACCAACGTTTACTGTGCGGAAAGGGCCACGGCATCATCCGGTCCTCCGCCCCGCCCTCCCCAGCACGGATGCTGCACTTTGAACCCTCTCCACCCCACCTTCTCACCACTCGCTAGAACGGCTGAGTCACATGGTTGACACCGGTGGATGGATGAATTATGGATGGATTTATGTGAATATGCACGTTGGGTGGATGTTTGGATGAATATGGGGGTGTGGTTCCTGCGTTCACACTGATGCAGGAGTCAACAGCAATGGGATCTTTTGGGGATGATGTAGCTTTTAGGGTATCCAACACAAGTTTTAAGGGGTCTCGTTTGTAACATTGGCTTTTGCCCGTCACTAACATTGTGAACAAAATTTCTAGAGTGGGTGTCAGCACATTCTAACTTAGGAAGTTTTATGGGCTCAAGCCATATCAATGCTGAAAGCTTCCTTGAAAAGGCCAATATTTTTCAACATCTGCTCATGCAATTTCAAAACTTATGGCAACCTCGACAATCGATCATGAGATTGAGAATAAGGTTATTGAAGCAAATTTCAATTTGCATGTATTTTCTATAATTATAATAAAGATGGTACGAAATTAAAAACATATTACGGATTAATGTTGTGTCAACGGTGTTGTAAAACACCAAAAATTATATTCCGATGGAACTTTAAAGTTGAAGCATAATGGTGACTTTTGAGAGTGTAAAACCACAATGCTGCTTAATAAGTTCACGCAAAATAAAGTAAAATATAACAAACTTCATGTAATAAATCGTGCGTAGCATCAACAAAAAGTAAATGTCAGCGTTCAAAAACATACAAGATCGCTCAATATTTAATAGTTGCCTCGAATTTGCAAGACACTATACTACTTAAACAAACCATAATCTCATAACACTTCTTGTTGTGTACAAATGTACTTGTAGAATTGAAAACATGTCCATACAAAACAAGTTCACAGAACCACTAAATACAAAATATATATATATATATATATATATATATCTATAGATCTCAAAATTTGTATGAAAAGAATGCAATGTTGTGTGAGTCAATCAAGTTGACCATTCGGATTCTCAAGACGGAATGTGGGGCCCATCCCTATGCCATGCCTGGTCTCCGCCGTCATTACGTGCCATGTCAGATTTTCACGCAGGGGTCGACTCATGCCACATCAGCATCTTCCCACACTGCTACGTGCGAGGATTGGGTCGCTGTCATGATAAATTCGTGCCAATTCAAACTTACCTGACCTTTCTCCCCTTCCCACCCCCACTCCCTCGCATTCAATTCAAATTCTTCGCCCCTGGTCCCCCTTCTCCGTGCCGATTTCGTCATCACGGGTGTACGTTCCCCATCGAATTTCGCACACACTAAAAACCCAAATACCAAAAAGGATAGAAACAAAGAAACTCGGGACCTATCACCGTTCCTTATCTTCTTTCCCATTTTGCCATTCTTTATCTTTTTCTGCACTGATGCTATTGTGAACCGGCTCTCCACCCTGCAGTTAATGACGTGTCGAGACACCTACTTATCCTTTAGGCCATAAAAAAAGAAATTCGGGAACTTCGACTAAGTTTCCTCCGTTCGTTTCTTCTTGCCCAAGTGGCGCACGGGTGACACCCATTACTGGAAAAAAATGCATCACCGACCCATTCTGTCTGACGTGTACTGAGTGTGTGCCAGTTGGCACTATTGCACGAACCTTGAGCCAATCGAAGCATCACGCGGGTTCATGGATCTGTCGATGTATTCTCGTTCTAATACGATGGCAGAGAATTATTTGATATTATACGAATATTCTAAACTATGTAACACAATTGTCTATCTAGGGTCCAGTAAGAAGAATTCAGCGCAGGTTCGATTCCTCATTCCAGAAGATCTGGGCACATACAACACTTGTGTCTGTCCCGTGGATGATGCTCGTCTCCTTCTAATTGGATGTGGCCTCGTTCATCCATTTCGATGACGAAATCGAAATGCCCCTGAGAACGGGAATGACCTAAGTAGATGAATAACGCTACTCCAGTAATGAATGTCGTTGAAATACTTTCATCTAGGGATCTCGATATAGGATTTTTTTTTTTTTTTTTTTTTTTTTTTTTTTTTCCTGAGCCAATAATGGATGAATTCTTGTTTCTATTTTGTAAACTCGAATGCTTTGTTACATAGGAACATGGATTTTGCAAAGAATGATGGTTTGTGAGATAGAGAGTTAATAATCATTTCTTTGTGTATATACTTACAATTATTATACTTTGAAATAATATACTAAATCATGGTTTGAAATTTTTTTCTTGAGAATAATTATAGTTTTCAAACAAATAAAAATGATTGACTTGAACCACAACATGCATCTTCTAAATTTAGGTATAGAGGGAGTAATTTGAATGACCTTTTAGAAAACTTTTTCCCACATGCCTTGAAGACAAATTAAACCATTAAAAACATGTTTTTCCTACTACTTAGAAGAGGTAAATTTGCAAACTTGTATTGATAAAGCATAGAAATTGGATGCATAACCTTAAAAAGTCAACTATGAATGTATTTTATATGTCAATAGACATATTATGACAATCATAGACGTGGTCCAAAACGTGGTTTTGCTTACAAAAAAAAAATATGTATAATAAAATTAATTGATAGAAATATGAAATGACATCATTTTTTTTTAGTAACATTTGACCTTTATAAAATTAATAATATTTTGTTGCTATTCAACCAAATAATCATCATGTCAGTTGCACACTTACAAATATCACAAGTCTTTTCATGTTTTATCAAGGTCTTTGTTGTCTATTTAAATCAAAATTAGGATACACTTCACTCTTTATTTATGATTTTTTTAAAAAAATTAAAATTGAAGCGTGATATTTGAGTTGAATGACAAATATAATAACATCCAAATACAATCTAAATTTCCAAAATAGAGCATAATAGTGTATTGGGTAAAATTTCCATATTTTCAGTGACAACTTTCAAAAACAATCAAACATTACATTTTAAATCTTGGATTAAAAATAAAACGGTGTTCTATTCAGAATTTACAACTTAAATAATTATAATGTATCTTTTCTTTTGTAAATATATACATGTATATGTTAAATATTTAATGACATGTAGACAAATGTATTATTATTAATTAATATGATCCTAGTATTACACACAATACAATAATAATAAATAAATAAAAATGTCTCAACACACTTATCAACAAACATTTGTTGATGTAAAACAACAAACAAAATCAGAAAACTGGATGACTAGAAATGAAAGAAAAATGGCCAATGGTAAAATTTAATTATATGTATATATATATATATATATATATTATTGGAATATAATTAAAACGAATCATGAAATAAATGTGTTTATTTAAAAATATTTAAAAACTCTTACATTCAATGTTTATTTTTTTAATTAATTATCATTGTTTCTTTTTTTCAAATTTGTATAAATTACATACTGATACATCTGAAAAAGTTTGATAAAGCTTTTATATATAGTCAGATTCATTAAATTGTAATGAATCATGAGTTAGTTCAAATTTTATTTAAAAACATGATTTAGCATTTCATGGAATACCATACATTATTATAGTACGATTTCTTACTTTCTAAAAACTTTGATAGTTTTGCACAGATCTCTTGACAATATCATTTGAACCTTAAAATATAAATTTTCTTTGTATATTTTTTTAATATTGTTTTAATATTTAACTTTAAATATTTTTAGGTTAAATAACTAAGATATAATAAGCAGTGTTATTCAAACAGGAATTGTCTGCAATAAACAATACTACAATAAAAATTATTAATAATAATAATAATAATATTATTATTATTTTTATATTAAGAGTTGACAAAATATCGAAATTAAAATTGAAGTTGATATTGTTACATCAAACATCTATCTTCAAAATATACAATCATAGATTTAATTGTAATCCTCTCTTTTAATATTGACATACTTTCTAGTATCATGAAAATTATTTATGACGTATTTTCACATTCGTTTTTATTTTATTTTATTTTATTTTAATACGATAAAATATTATACAAAAACTAGAACATATGTGTATGATACTGGTGATTTATAACATAACCATTCATGTATTAATTTTTTTTCAATAGTTGGCATAAAACCGTATTACAGATCTTTTTATCTAATGACAATTCCAAAAATTAATACTTAATTTATTTACCATATATATATATATATATATATATATACACACACACACGTACATACCAATTAAAATATGTACATGTTATTAACATTAGAAAGTGATTAAAACTTCTGAGCTTGTCAAGCACATAACCATTTGCAATCATTTGCAATGAATATATATATATATATATATAGAAATCATTATAAGACCACTCTAAAATTCAGCTGTAAAATATTTAGTAAACACATGTTAAACAATGTATTGTAATTGTGCCGTCTATTCGGTATTAATCATGTTTCAATTTGATCTAAACACTACTAAAATGTTTTATGAAGGTCAAGGATACAATTGTTTGAAAACTAATGAAAACAACATACAGAAAAAAATTCTCAGTTTTTTCTTGATCCAATCGTATTATTTCGAAATTCGCAAGTATTTTATTGAGGTTATGATTTTATCTGTTTGGTTTTTTGAAACATTTTAAAAACACTTACGCTGAAAAGAGAAATTGCAGCTATCTTCCTGATTTTAAAATTCCAATTCGATTACATTGAAATCTTCTGTTTTAAATATTCTAAATAGATGTTTCAGTCAAACAAGATGCAGAATCATGCAATTATCGATTGTATTCACTGTTTATTTGTGATTAGCATCTACAAAAACACTTAATAGAATTGTTGTTACAGATAACAATATCAAAAGATAAATATTAACCACCAGAAGAGAGCAGAATGCATTCTCTTGCTGTAGTTTGCAAGAGTCTCCTTGGAAACCTGTCATGGCACAATATCACCATTCTCAGAATGAAACAACTTTTCCACGTTGTAGAAAATCGTTTTGATTGCAAGCTCACTCAGTTAAGCTTACTTGGAAAGAGAGTCTATTGCTACAGTTGTTTAATGAATACCCACCTGGATAAGTTTGAGTGAACCCAGCTGAGCCAATGCCATCTTGGATAATTCCTCATGAATTAGTCCAGGTGGGGTTAATTTTGATGAAGTTATACACATCTCGAACAATACCTAGCCAACCATGACATTTCAGTGATGGTGTTAAGGTTTCATTGCAGCTTCTGTTGAGGGAATTCAGCCACTGTGGAAGCACGTCAGAGCAATATATTTAACACTCATGAGACTCATTGATTCTCATGTGAAAATATATCTCTTGGTGAAAACAAATTCATCGTTGACAATGGCTGGAGAAAGTTGAGCTTGAATTTGCTCAACTCGGCGGTTTCATGTTACACACCTGTTAAAAGCATGACAAAATACATGGTTTGGTATCATTCTGCTCATACGCTTCTTTGCTAGTTCTTCTCTTTGGATCTAACCAGAAGTATTGCAATCTAGGAATAGTCTAGAGTCTGCCAGTATCATATTATGAAGAGAAGAATAGAATTGTTTCACGCGATCTAAAGTCCACAAGCTGTTGAAACCCATCACATGGCGAATCGAACCAGAAAGAATCAGGGTGCAAGCAGAGGTATGATCCTGAATGGGCCGACCTAAGATTCAAGGCTATAGAAGACGACAATACACGGCATAGAGACCTTCCCAACTCCTCTCATTTCAACCAGGAATACCAGATATTCCATGTTTCAGACAACGTGTTATTCCCATTGAGAAAACATAGAGGAAATGCAATTCGACTATATTGAGGCAAGTTGTAATCTGTCTATGGATATGAAGACTAGCTTTATGGCCATTTTTTTTTTTTTTTTTTTTTTTTTTTCCCCCCCCCCCCCCCCCCCACAATGTAGCCCAATTCGAGAAGCCCATCCACCAGCTGAGTCGAGTGACCCACCCTAACCGACAACCCTACACGAGAAAATATGTCAGCAGAAGCCAACACCTAAAACTGATCCAACTGTGATCGAGCAGTATACTCTGTCTTTCCCCGAGTCTCAGCAATTTTAACAAAGCAAAAACTCACACTTGGGCTCGGTGACTGAGTGGACTGCACACAACCTCGACATCCACCAGCCTTCTCCGAGACCCAACTCCCAAACCGTTGCCAGCAAGAGATGAAAGATCACGACTTAAACCCTAAAAAACACATTAAAACCATAAAGGATTGATTGCACTCTCTTTTCAATTCACAAATTCTCCAACAGCACTACAATGCAATTCGAAGCATAGGCAGCACCTTTACCTTGAAGGAGGCGGCTCGGTCTTGGGGTGCCTTTCGATTGGTCTTGGGTCATCCCACGGTCTGAGTCGGGAAGTTGGAGAACACACAGCCCGGGAGTTCCCACGTTCCCAAACGTAGGGCGAAACCAATATGGGGGGCGGAAACCCTAATCTGTAAATCTCTTTGGGTTCTCGTTCGCTCGCTCGCTCGCTCGCTCGGTTGCTACGGTACAGATCTCCAGAACCAGCTCTTCCGACGAGCTCCAGACCCTTGCAGCTATGGTGGAACGCAAGGGAGAACGCGTCAGGTTGTTCCTGGCTTCGAGCATTTTCGAAAGAGCCATTTCATCTCAAGATTGGTGCATATTCAGTGGCAGGGTTGTTTTTGAGGGGATGGGGACGCGCTACTTGGATTGTTAGCAGGTGATAGTAGGGTTCTGTTTTTTGATGGAGAGAGTGGCTTAGAAGCTTGCATTGCGACGATGAGAGTGAGGTTTTTACTTGAGGGGATGTGATTGTGGACTTCGACTATTTGGGAGTGTTCTGATTATTTGGTTGCGGTGGCATTTCAGGTTGTACGTGCGAGGAACTATCCTCGGGTACAAAAGGTATGTTCCGTTGAGGTTTCTCTTCACGATGATGGTTTTTCTGTGATGTTTTATTTTTCTCGTTGTTCGATGTGGTGTTACGGTTTTGCTGAATCTCGAGGTGTCTTAAATCAGGGTTTCCCAAATTTTGACCTAATTTTGATGTGTAGATAGGTTACATTTAAAAACACTGCGAGGGTGGATGGGTTCAGTGAAGACGCAACCGCAACTTGTTCTTAGTACGGAGTTGATGCATTAGAGTTAGAGGAAGAAAATTCAATACCGTCTTAAAATTCTGTAGTGTGTCTTTCATTATGTTTATGTGATAATTAGCAAACTTTATCTTTATTGATTTCGTTCGAAGGGAAACTGGGTATCTCTGCTAGAATTCCAAGCGGGGTTGTGCACGCATCAGATGATTTAGTTGAAAATTAATTGAGTGTCTCACGTGGATTCATTTATATAAAATTCAGTGATAAAATATCATGGATCGTTTGATGTGTTGCTTATCTATAGAGCTGGCTCCTTTCAGGTCGAAGTCCAACCAATACCCAAGCACCTCACTCCTCCAGATTGAGGGCGTCAACACATCTGATGAGGTGAATTGGTACCTCGGCAAGAGATTGGCTTACGTTTACAAGGCCAAGACGAAGAAAAATGGATCCCAGTTCCGTTGCGTCTGGGGCAAGGTTGCCCGCCCCCACGGTAGCAGTGGAGTTGTCCGCGCGAGGTTCAGGAACAACCTCCCTCCTTCATCTTTGGTGAGTTTGTCTGTACCAATCCTGAGAAATAATCTTTCTAACAGACCTTACATTCTCGTGTCAATGGTAGAAAGTTTACACTGTGGATGCCTAGACTTAGTTGTTTTCGTAAAATTCTCTGTAGAACTTTGTGAACATGTTACCTTGGTATTATATCCTATGAAGTAGAATGATATCGCGAGATCGAGTCCATGGATTACGTTCAGTTTAATTTTGAAGTTTTAGTGGCGGAGCTTTTCTCAAACCTTAACCTATTCGTTATATTCTTTGTCCCAGGGTGCCCGAGTGAGGGTGTTTATGTATCCCAGTCGCATTTAAACAGGTGAGAAGGTTGTAATCTGTTGTACTAATTCGGAGATAAATGTGGAACAGTCTACTTCCTGGTCAGTCTTCTTTCTTATTTGTGCAGGTGTGTGTAGGAATGCCCGCGAAATCTAGTGGTGGTAGTTGTTGATACATGCCTAAGGTGGATACTGATCTTATGTGCCGTCTTAAATATGTGCAGGACTCTGGAGCAGTTTGCAGTTTTGAGGCGCGAATGGTAGTTGAGTTTTTGGATATAGCTATCCAGCAGAAAGCTGCACACTGCTAAGTTAGTAGGGGTTGGGCACCCCAGCTTGTGCTCGAGTGTGTTAGTGGTGAAGACCCTTTCTGTGTTGGAGAGATCTGTATGCATAATTGACATCAAAATTTTATGTCCTTGTCTCTTTAAGTTGGTTGTTATTTGAAGGCAGTTTCTCTGAATCTTCTTTATTTGCTTCTCAGTTTCTTGACTTGATTTGTTTTCCCTCTAAATGTGAGGATGGAAGATACATGTAGTTTGCCACTTTCACAATTCTTCTTAAGTTTGCTCAATCCACAAGTGCTCATAAGTTTTCATCATAATGATAGAATGTCTTGATATATATATTTTTTATAGTTTAGAAAGTAGAGTAGTTTTAATCTTGATAAAAAAATTAAAAAATATTAAGTAGATCAATCCTTTACACCAAATGTTCATATATATATATATATATATATATGGGAACCTCGCTACATCCATCTAATCTGAAAACCAAATATCATAGATGCACTAACAACAAGCTATGTAATTGAACATATTCCTAACCAGATTCAAGAATAATTGAATCACATGAAGTTTTAATTATCTTGCTTGTACACACACGCTCACCCTCACCAATTTGACAAACTATCTAAAACGATCTCACTTCACCTTCACGACCCTGGTGGAAAAAATACACCGAATGGTTTACTGAAATCACATCCACTTAGATAATCCCTCAGTAGTTAATAAAGACTTGTTACGATATTTACTACACGTCTGTGATGTATTTTTGACTTTTACGAGGCGGAGTCAACGATGGGTGTCCAGCAGGACCCTTCTACCGCGCGAGCATCGACCGTCCATCCCGAGGCTGAGCATCGAAGCCACGCTGGTAGATGGGAGACGACATCCCTGTCTGTCTGACAGCTCAAGTGTTAGTTGAGTGAATTCCTCTCATGTTTATCTGCGGTTAGCAGCCATTTCACCCACTGTGTGCGTGCGTTCTAGGTCGACGTTTCCCAAGCGGGGCTTTGGAGGGCTTTTGGAACAAGGAAGAAGAAAGAAAGGGAGAAGGAAATAGAGCGCAAGGTTTTTGCAGGAGAGCCTGTGGGTTTTTGAGTGGGGGATTGGTTGAGAGAGTCTGCAGCCATGGCGCTCGTAGCGGGACGGTTCGTGGTGGCCAGGAGCCCCTCCCTGGAGAGCAACGCATTGGTGGGGAATGAGACGTTGCGCGCAGCAGCAGCGGCGCCGGCCGAGCGCATCGGGATCTCCGCCGGGCGTCCATGCTTTGCAGCTCCGCTGCGGGAATGCTCCCACTCCCGGATGGCTGCTGTGGTGCGAGGGCGCCGGCCTCGTGCGCTCGTGACTGAGTTCGTGACAGAAGAATCCGAGGTTTTGGATGCGGAGGAGGTCGAAGAAGTTGTGGAGGAAGAAGAAGAGAACCCCTTGATTCCCAGTGCCTTTGAGGTATCAGCATTCTATGCATCTTCCTATGGCAATCTTTTTTCTGTTTTTGCCCCCCCCTCGCGAATGGTTCGTCCTGTTTTTGGCATTGGCTCTAGTGGGGAGCTGATTAGTGGGGAGCCGTATTTGTACAGGTTCAAAATCTCCTTATGCAGGTCTGCGATGAGACATCGAACATTTCCGAGGTGCAGATGAAAGTAAAATTTCTTGCCTCTGCTTTGACGTGTCTTTTCTGGGTGATAGCAGGTATTCTGCGGTCGCTATTGCACATTTTAGTTGACCTATGTAATTTTTTAAAGAAGAAATTGGCTGGACTCTACAGGTTTTTCATGTTTATTTGTTTTTCAGATAACAATGTAGCAAGGCAGGCGATTAAGAATGAAGTTTCGTTCATCTATTTCGGGGCTCAACGTGTTCAAAAGAATCATTCTATTGGCTAGGTTTAAAAGATTGTCACGGTTTACAGGTGGGTTCCTTCAGTTTGCGAGTAAGGAGAGAGATTGGCAAGCCAGCACCGGCTCCGAAGCCAGTTGCAGCAGGGCCTCCAGTATTGGGTAAGGCTATGGTTGAATCCATTCCAGCTGAGGCCGTTCCAGCCGCTTCGAAGCCTACCTCCACCAAGCTCGCCAAGAAAGCCCTCTCTGGGTCGTCATTGAAGCCCGTCTCAAATTTTGGTCTCATAGAAGCAGCTGCTGATGCAGGATTGCTTTTCATTACCTCACCAAAGGTAATGCAAGCATGCTACTCTTTCCACGCTGCACAACTATTTATTTATGATTTTTGTTGACTGAATTTCACCTCTTGCACTATGCTAGTTGCTTTTTTGGTTCAGGATTGTTTATCGTGGGTACTAACCAGCTGACCTAGTCATTTATGAGTGGTTGACCATTTCTCGAAATCGTTTGTTGTCTTTTACCCTGCAGTAAATGTATGGTACACTAGTTAGTCTGTTATATCGAAGCTGTAATGTTGAGTTTAGTAAGGTTCATTGCGACTTGAAGAAGTCCTTGGTTCTGCATGCATCACTTATGTTTTTGTACTTGTTGAGGATCAGGTGGGTCTCTTCAGGAAAGGGCGAACCGTGAAGGGTAAAAGTGGTCCTCCACTCTGCGAAGAGGTATCCTCAAATTTTAGCGGTTGTCGATGATTTTATTTAATAAGTGCGGCTTGCTTTTTGTAATTTCCTATGTGGCTGTTCTTCTGAGGGCTCCAAATGCGAGGAACTTGAAGTCTTGATCAGCATGAAGTACAGAAGCATTATTGAATTCGCGTTTGGTCGTTAGTTTTTCCATGTAAAAGTGAAACTCAGAACCATTGTAGGGTATGAAAAGATGTTGAGGCATGGAACTTGAGGTTGGTATCGTTGGTATTGACATATACATGTGGTTCCGTGCTCCAAAAAGTTGTGAGTGGGATGTCGAGAGATCATGTTACCTCACTAATTTGTGCACTTGCTTTGCTATTTCCTCAGGGACAAATAGTTAAGGAGGGTCAAGTGGTGTGCTATTTGGAGCAGCTCGGCACGCAACAACCTGTAGAGGTAAATGTTCTTTTAGCAGATTCCATAGGGAGCATTTTATACTTGGTGTCAATACTAATCTTTCGCATTGTGATGATGTTTACCTTACAGTATAAACATGATTATTGTTTTACCACTGTCAAGATCGTTACTCTTTTGTATAAAGAATACAAATATATTGAGGAGGTGGCATCACATGAGCTAGGGACATTCACTATGTATTATCCTTGGTCTCTTGTGTTAAGGCAACCAACACTCTTGTCTAGAATGAGAGGATGTGGATTTCAAGGAGTGATGTAAATGGTGACGTTTAAAAATTTGATCCCCATTTTCATATGTTCAATTCGAATTCTCGGTTATGCAGGCTGATGTTACTGGTGAAGTTGAGAAAGTTTTGTGGGAAGACGGAGGTATTTGATCACTTCTTTATTTTTCCTGTTTCTCCTTCTCCTTCCCTTCCTTACTTTTTCTTGCTGATTGATTGTTTGAAGATAAGAATTATGAGGTTTTCTTTCTTGTTTTTTGATCATCCTATCTGCACATCTATGCTTGTAATAACTGGAATATTCTTCCCCGCTGTCATCTTTTTATAATCGTGACACCAGTCATTGCTACAGTCCAGCCCTGATTCCCTTGAGTATCATTGGTTTACTTGCACATGGACGTTTTTGATTAGAAGTGTATATATTTCCAATTATTTGATATCTAACTGTTGGATTTTGTAACTTCTTGTACTAATTCTTCATATTTCGTGCTGCAGTACCCGTCGGGTATGGAGATCCTTTGATTGCCGTCAAGCCATCATTCCCAGGAATTAAGGTTAAAGGACAGCTTTTAGGTTAAAAGTTTTTCCTTCTCTGGTTTACAGCAGATCGTTGTTCTTAGTCAGTCCTACTACAGATTAATTTCTGGCAAATACTACTTTCATAGGTCGTTTAGTAGTCTCCTTTAATGCCTGTTACAGTACTTTTGCAGCCGAATAGTGGAGAATCAGGTGCTCTTGCAAACCAAATGACCTTGTACTTGATGCGTAACAATTCAAGCAGATTTGTTTTTATAACATTTCAAGTTTTCTATGTTGGATTTACGAGCTTTGGGAGCAAGTCCAGTTTTTGGAACTGTCTGATTTGTAATAAACATGGTTTGCAAATAATATATTAGGTGTCAACTGAGTTTTCTAAAAGATGATATAAATTGTTGCAACAGAAGTGATTAGATATTATGTACAATATCTTCGAATATATTTCAATGTATGCCAGGAGTAGCATGTTTCAATAGATAACAGATGAAATTATAAATTTAAACGTTACTTAATGATTTTAAAGAACACATGTGAGACGGCGATTGAATTTGTTGTGAAGGTGATCATGAATATTTATTTGGTTTATTGTCCAGATGGGTTGGGAACTTCTGTGCGTATCTGCAAGCTACGCCACTTGTATTTTTACAAATTGAACGTTAATCATTTATTTTTCCACAACTAATATAAAAAACTATGTAATGGTGGACGGTGGTTGCAACAGATGGGTGGTAATGGTCAACTTCCCAGGCTTCTGACTATCATCATTTTGCAGCCATTGCCACGCTCCTGTCCTATGATAAGTCTTCACGTCCTCATTATCTAGGATGTTTTTTTGTTTCAATACTCGTGTATAATACAAACAGCTTAGTGTTGAGGATAGTAAATTTGCGAGCCACTACACTGGAGCTCAGCATTTGTGATATAGAACAGCTATCATTAGCTTGGCTCAGGTTGAGTATGAAGTTGGGGAAGTCCAAACTTTCCACTAGCTGGCCTGCGAAGCATTGCCATCCAAAGTTTTCTTGTCATCTTGAACATAATCTCCAAGTGCTCACAGCTTAACTCGTTGGGACTTGAAGAGTTGAACAAGCAATTGAAAACTCGAAGTATTCACATAGGGGATTAAAAATTGATGGGAGTGAATTGTCGTCGTACCTGTACAATAAGCTCAAACAATGGTCGGATTGAGGCAAAAACTTCGTCGGCAGAGTGCAATCCATTTACCTGCAAATCAGGATTATGATTCATGTTCAGGTAACAATTTGGAATTCCTTAGCACAATTGCTTTCATACTGTAGTGAGACTGATGAGATATGCAGAGAAAGCAACTCCAATTCGAGGACCATAGCTCCTGGAAGGACTACAAGATTCAGACTCTGATGGAAATAAATAGCCTTGCAACTAACCTTGTGTACTGTGGTGTTGGTCTCATAGCGTTTGATAACAGGCAACGTAGATTCATTAAATACTTTGAACCGATTCCGAATAGTTTCAACATTATCATCATCTCGACCCTATTTCCCACCCACAATCAAGACTAATCCAAGATAATCTCAGATAGTGACCATCAACAATTGCGAGAATGAAAGGCCACTAAAACAGCTAGCACGAGTATCCGGAAAAAATATGAACAAGCAATCCTTTCAGTGACAGTTGTACAATCGACAAAGATTGCAAATTAAGAATACCCACAAAACCTTGGAAATAAACCAGAGCCAAAGGAGAATTCTTATTCTGCATGGGAAAAGTTGGCAGGTTTATGTAAGACGGGAATAGAAAAAAATTGACCACAGTAATTACCCCAGTGCGACTTAAAACTCGTCTTTCCATCTCCTCCTCTGAGCCAGTAATGAAGAGAATAAACTCAGGTTTAAGTCCAGTCTGCAAACACTTCGTGGCTCGTTGGTTAAAAGGATTTTACAAAAAGTTCAAGATAAACATTAGTCTCATAAGAATTCAAGAAAAATGTTGCAGTCCATGATTTAGGTTATACTCTGCTAAAAAAATTGAGTTGTCACTGATGTAATCAATATCTTTATAATTTGGTAACATAGAACCAGAGGTTACCAACAACGCAAGCCTTTGTCGAATACTTCTAACGATATTAAAAAGTACCAGAGAAAATAGTATAAGCAATATAGTCACTTACCACGCGATCCCAAACCTCGCGGTTCTCTTCGTTTCTTGGAAATCCATCGATCAAAAACTTATCGTTGGTACTCTCCGAAATCGCCTTCAGAATCAGCTTTACGGTCACTTCTGATGGTACTAGTTTTCCTTCCTTGATCAAATCTTTAATCATGTTCCTGGCACATCATATGTATTTGTTGCTATTAGATTCTAATTAGCAAGAGAAATACGCAGCATTCAAAAAAAAGAAAAGAAAAGAAAAGAAAAGAAATCCCTCAATTACGAGGCAGAACTAGTGTAAAATATGGATGTTAATCGAAGGTGGAAACAGATCAACCCTGAGGATTTAGAGTGCACGGCGTAACATGAGCATTATGTGAGATCACCCGTCTTAAATGGCTACATAATCCTACCCAATTTCAGTGCCTGAATTTTGCTCTGCTCGCAGCAAATCTCCCGCACTGAGGTGTTCAAACCCAAAATTCTCCACAATCTTAGCACATTGTGTGCTTTTCCCACTTCCCGGCCCACCTGTGATACCCCATAATATGAACTGAGTTATCGATTAGATATTATTTCTCCTCTTCATGAACGAAAAAGTATTAAAGAAACAGCTATCACTTCTGTCCACCCAAAACGTGATCTGGTCATTAAGTGCATGGTTGGATAATAACAGAGAGCTGAATTGCCAGCAAATAAATCCTGCGGCTTTGAAGGGGATTATTTTAGTACGTTCAATGCCAAAATTTAGGAAGTTGTACCAATTCAGTTGCATTAAATTGATACACTTACCTGTGACAAATACAAACTTGAAATTCTTCAACTTTGCTCCCGAAGAATCGTGGGTACTCACCGACGGCTGCACTCACAATATAAAGGCCATAATTTACCAAGGTCTAAATTATCTTACAACTCTACGTCTTTTATCAAAGCTTTTTCATACTTGAGTTTCCAAGATCGAAGGGACCATAGAAGAATCACCATGGGATCCTGAGGCCCAGCACGCCTAGATTCAGATGCGGTGGACAATGCCATTAATCTCCTAACCAGTCACCAAGTCAAAACCTGCCAAGCTGAGAAACACATTAAAAACTTCAGATTACATAGCTAGAGTGGCAAAAAGAAGTACCGGTGGATTCGTAGATCAGGTGCTCTCAAGATTACTAGGTTCAACGTGAAGCTCATCACCTCCAAATTTACCACTTCAATGGATTGTTCTAGTCCTCCATACTGTAATTCTAGCTCCAACTTATCCAGTATTTGTACTAAACCTACCATAAACTCCAAATTACAAAAAGAAATAAAAAGAATCGCAGCTTTCCACTTTTATCAAAGTGCTGAACACCTCATGTCAGAGTACTCATAAGTCTGAGTGCTTGGTTGGGACAGACCACAACGTTTGTCCCTCCAAAGATCTAAACCAAAAACCAAAATTCGCACAAATTCACATTGAGTCACTAGATGCACAATTTCTAGCACTTAAATAACATGAAATCAGTGAAGAAAAGTTATCGCTCTGTGCTTTCCACATTAACCCCAGGACTAATGTATCTCCCTTCACGACCTCAGAAAGTCCGTTTCGAACTAACCAAATCTCAACCAAATCTCAAGAGAGTCAAAACAGGAAACAAAACGACAGGCCCTATGTCCCGAACGCACACCCCTCCAACAGGGCAAATGAGAGAAACTCAAAGCCAAACCTCCAGCCACAAAATCAAGACCCACTAAACCCCAATGAGCTGAACTCTGCAACACACAGACCAGCAACTCAAACCTTCAACGAAACGAACTTGAAATTACTCAGACAAAGTTCATAGAAAGCCCACTGTTGCCATACTACCAGTCACGCAGCAGCTACTCATCGTCACACAACTGTAACACAACCAAACGAGCCCAGGCCCTACCAAATCAACGCATGAGGAAAAACCACAGAATTGCCAAGTGAAAGACAAGACCCTCTCTCTTTAACTCTCTCTCTCTCTCTCTCTCTCTCTCACACCTGGCGTTGGGAGCAACCAGGTCCAAGCCTCCAAAGACGTGGAACACAAAACTATGATGAAAACAAGAGTGTGTGTGCGAGAAACTTTGCTGTGAGTGAGTGAGTAGGACAGAGCAGCTGCAATGCGAAGCAAAGCAAAGGGTGAAGAAGAAGAAGACGAAGCAGAAGAAGGGTGGATTTTAGTGAGAGCTGGGTGCGTTTGTGGGTTGAGGGGAGGGAGGTAGTGTCTCATTTTACACTTGGCATGGGCTTATGGTGCTTAAGTGGCTGCCACCAAACTTTGGCTGTGCGTCTTACACCTGGACACACACCCCCCAGTTTGGCTGTCGTGGAGCCTCGCTGGCAGTCCTTTTTTTGTATTATTATTTTTTTTGGTGAAGGATAAAATAGTCCAATCATTTTTCTAGTGAATTGGTTCTATACTAGGAAAGAGTAAGTAGGAGGATGAGGAGAATTAGGTGGAAGTGGAGGGTTTGATTCTATGTGGGTTTAATAGGCACAAGCTGTTTTAAGGTATATTGATGCCTCCTATGTGAGCACTCCAAGGTTTGGTCTTTTCTACAGATGAGTTGAACCTTTGTGGAGTGGATGTCATATTGTGTTGGGAGGAGAGATTGCTATACATGTTTGATGGTTTTGTGCACAGATTTGAGTGCAATTTAAGAATTGTTTTCTACATTTTTCTAATGAATACCACAGATAGGTTGTTGCACCCAAATGTGCTGTTTTTAGAGCACTTTGTCATTTGAGCAACAACAAATACATCAAGTTTTGAAGCCCAAGGTGAAAAGTTGACAGATCAATTGGCTAGTAAGGAACTTGAATTACAACCCATCATAAGTAGGGAGCAAAAAAAAACAAAAAAGATGGCAACTGTAAGCAGTTTGCAAATTGAGAGGTTGCAGTATTAAGAGGATGAGTTTAAAAGAATAGCAAACTTTCTAATCATTTGAGAGTGGTATAATAAATAAAAGATATTATTCTATTTGATGTCTATTTTTAGTATAATTTTGTTCAAATAATAAAATAAGTATTTAAGTTCTTAATTAATCATTTTGCTATTAGTTTTTTACATAAAATTTATTTTTTCTTGTGTAAAAAACTAAAAAACTTAAGAACTAACATTAGAATGAGAATGTTGATGTGTTTAAAAATAATTTTAGAATTTTTAAATGATTCATTATTTAAGAATATGAATTATTATTTTTGTAATTAAAAATATTTCATATAGAATAAATTTAATATTTATGCATGTTGAAGTATTTTACACCAAAATATCTCTTTTTTTGCAGATTTATTATTCATTATTTATAAACTTATTGCTAGTACTTTCAATTCTTCTATTACTTCAATTATATTTCTTCAAGTTTTATCAAGCTCTACAATCACAAGTTCGTACCTTTGTTTCTTTTCTCTAGATTTGTTTAATTAATCTATTTCTAAATTTCTTAGATTATATATATTTTTATTTTATAGTTTTACTTTTTAAATTTTTTATATTTAAAATAAATCCAATAAACTTTCAATTCCTTTTATAGTTTGATAGTTTTGATTTACTTATTTAATTCTATTTTATCCTAGAATAAAGTTGGTTGTTATAATTTTTTAAAATTTATTTTTATTATAAGATTGATTATTTTTATATTAATTTGATTAATATATATATATATATATATATATATATATATATATATATATATATATATATGTGTGTGTGTAAAATTAAAAATAATCTTAAATAGACTTTTCATTTGTCTTGAGTATAATGACCACCCATTAGTTCCACTCTCATCTTCAACATGATGAAATCTAAGCAAATAGTACCTTATTTGGCCTCATTCATAGTTGCTTGCCTTGTTTTAAGATTGTTGTAAGCTTCATGCATTTTTTTTGTATAGATGCTTATATAATATGATGTTTCTTTTTTTGGTGCAAGTAACATTGTTCTATGAGTAGTTGACAAATATTGCTTTGGCTTGCTTACTTTGTTTAGAAAATATTGCTTTTTCTAAAGCTTGGCATCATTGCCAAATGAATTGGATAATCTTATATCTTTGACTACTTTTGATGTAAGTAGATGCTCAAACTTGATAACATTGCTAAATAAATTGAGCAACCTCACATCTTTGGCTATCTTTGATATAAATTATTACTCAAGTTTGACATTATTGTCAAATAAATTAGAAAATATTAAATATTTGACTATATTAAATGCACATGAATGGTATGGATTAATATCATCGCCAAATGAATTGAACAACCTTACATTAGTGGCTAATTTTATTATAATATGGTAATTAAGTATGACATTATTGCCAAATGAATTAGATAATGTTACATCTTTCACTACCTTAGACATAAGGTATTGTTTAAGTTTTACATCATTATTAAATGAATCTAACAACCTCACATCTTTAACTCATTTTGATATAAGTTGGTACAAAAACTTGATATTATTGCCGAATGAATTGGACAATCTTAAATCTTTGACTACCTTTGATGTAAATAGATGCTCAAACTTCATATCATTATCAAATAAATTAGAAAACATCACATCTTTAACTATATTTAACATAAGTTATTTTAAGTTTAATATCATTATCAAATGAATTTAAAAACTCTATAATTTTTACAACTTTAAGTATAAAAGAATGCTCAAGCTTTATATTATTGCTAAATGAATTTAGAAATTTCACATCTTTGACTACCTTAAATATGAATTGGTACATAAGCATGATACTATTACCAAATGAAATTAGCAGCCTCACATCTTTGACTAATTTTAATACAAGTAAGTACAAAAGCTTCACATCATTACCAAATAAAATTGACAACCTCATATCTTTGATTACCTTGGATATAAGCTATTCTTTAAATCTAACATCACTTCTAAATGAACTATGCAACCTCACATCTTCGACTACTATTAAAATAAGCAATTACTCAAGCTTGATATTATTATCAAATGAATTGGACAACTTGTCAAGGACATGAATCTCAAAGAAAGAAAATCCATAATATACTCTTGTATCACTGAAAGGAACTAGAAAGTTACTAAAAGATGATCTAATATTATACTAGAATGGCTATTGCCAAAATAAGAAGACTAGAAAGTCTTGGAATAAGACTAAAAACTAGAAAGGCATTGACAACAATGAAGAAGGCTTCATTCTTGCCTCCATATATATTCTCTAACTAAGAGTTATGTAGCAATATTCTGTAGGACCTCTAACATGTATTGATTTTGGTAGTCACATGTCTTAACTTGCAAGGCAAGTTATCTATATATGTGCCACATAGTTAGCTTATTCTATAAGCTACTATATGGAGTTAACTTGTTTCATAAGTTATCAATACATGGTTAACTTGTTGACCAAGTTTCTAACCTACAAAAATATCTAAAGTCAGAATCGCATCTATGAAGCTTTTAAGAAGTTTTTCTAAAAGACTTTATGAAATTAATCTATATTTAACTACTTCTATTTAATTATATAAGTAACTATTGAGATAAATATATATGTTTGTGACATTACCTTCCTTTCTAGGAACAAGTTCTACAAGGAGTGGTCATTATCTTTCATGGATCTTACAATTCTTGATCTTAGTTTTGATGGATGTCGTTGATGAAAGGCCTCAAACTTCTTTGTTGTATTTGCAAGATTCTTTACTGGCTTCTATGTGCATTCATTATTATCATATCCATGCCAATGAATAAGATATTCCAATCTATTTTGGTGCTGCCTTGAATCTAAGATTTCTTCCACCTCAAACTCTTGATCATTATTTATTTTTATAGAAAGAGGTAGCATTTGTCTTCTTCCAAAAATATTCACTATCTTATAAGGCTTAAGAAGAGAAACGTGAAATATATGGTGGATCTTCATAGATTCTGGTAGATGTAATCAATAAGCAATAAAATTGATTTATTCACAAATAAGAAAAGTTCCAAGCCTATAATAGTCCAACTTATCACAATGACTAGTATTTTTGATATTACAATGAAGTAACCATATCTTGTCATCCACATTGAATTATGGTTGCTCTTTGCAATAAGCATCCGCATTGGTCTTTTTTTATTCTTGAGCTTCCTTTAATTGTATCTTCATTATTACATGTAGCTCTAATAAATGATTTACAAAATCTTCTATCATAGAATTATCAACTTTTGAAAATTCAAAAGTATCAAGTCATGGATAATAACCATAATTGGCAAAAAAAAGTGTTTCTTAAGGAGAAGAATGTATCAAATTATTGTATGCAAAATTTGCCAATAGCAAAAGAATTATCCAATCATTTTGAAAATAGTTGATAGTATACCTCAAATACTATTTTAGAACTTAATTCACCCATTTTATTTGCCCATTAATTTGAGGATGAAAAGCCAAAGAAAACTTTATATCCACCTTTAGAATCTCAAATAAGGTTCTTCAAAATCTTGATACAAATTGAGTCTTCTTATCCAATATAATATCTTTTGGCAATTCATGATAGTGATGATATTACCAATAAAAAGCTTAGTTAATTCTTTATCTAAAATAGATTTTATATATGGTACAAAATATGTCATTTTGATGAAGTAATCTACAATTACAAATATAGAGTCATATGAACTTGAACTTAGAAGATCTATAATATAATCTATAGAAATAAAAAACCATGTATCTTTGGATATACGTAATGGTTGGCAAAGTCTATAGGATCGATGACAAGGATTTTTTGATCTTGAAAAAATGTCACATGACTAGATAAAGTCTTTTATTATCTTCCATATTTATAGCCACCAAAAATCTCTAGATATAAGCTCTAAAGTCTTATTGTATCTAAAATGTCATACTACTAGAAAGTTGTGACATGCTTGAAAAACACATAAACGTGCTTGTCCTTTTGGAACATATATGTGGCCTTCAAAATAGAATAGGTTGTTCTTGAATTTAAACTTTGAAACATCATGAGATTTAGAAGAAAGATTCTTGATATCATGAATAAGAGGATCAGAGGACATACTTACTTAAATTATTTTGACAAAGGTCAAATCAACATTGCTCAAAGATGAAAATTTTTAGGCTTCAAGAGGATTGCTCTTTGTTGATCAAAATATATGTCTCGTTCTTTTGGTGTAAAATAAGAAAATCTAAAAAGAACATCTCATAAATCTTATTGTTTTCGAGGTCGATATGTGATCTTGAAATCAAATCTTAATAATGACATGCTTCAATG